ACTCCAACAGAACTGTTTCTCCTGTGGTTGAATAGCCTCACACACACACACGCACATCTTGCTAACGTTATATTGGAGGTGTCTTTGTCCGAGCATTTCTGTAACTTTCCCAAACTGATGATCCAAATGTAACACCTACTTCATGCTGACAAAGAAGACAGTGTTTGAACTTCCTTCCCTAGCCCTTTTTTCCTTTCATGTCACGTCATGACACCTATTCTGTTACTTTTGGTGTGCACAAATGCAAAACTATAAAAAGGCTGCATAAAAATCTGCCCAGAATTTAAGCAATATCACATCTCCCTTCTATATCTATTGGCCAATTTGCGTAATTTTCCTTCCCCTTTGAACACCTGGAGTAATACTGAAACGATATATTGAATCTTAAAGAAACAGAACATCTACCTTGTTTTTCTCCCTGAAAACACGCCTTGAGTGAACATGTTTTTCTGGTGGTTGGTAGACGGACTCCTTATGCCCTCCACCTTTCAGAGCTCCCTGTGGGGTGTAAAGGTCCATTACAATGGACAACATCACCCTGCCCGTTGTTTTTGTTAGCCCCTAATTGCAAGACCCACAGCAATGTTGATTGTGACATTCATTACGCACGTCATTAGCAGAGTCATTAACAATGGGGGAGCATGATAAGGAGTGTTTGGAGACAGTTATCTGCTGTTGCCATTGGGTAAATAGAAAGGGGGGATATCTTGCTCTGGGTACATGTGTAAAACAAGAATACTTGTTTGGAGGAGTGTGATAAGGAAAGGGAGAGGCAGTTGTAGTTTTAAGTTGTTTTTCCTGGCCTGCCAAAAACAATGCCAAGAATCTTTGGGAATCAAAATCTGAAACGCCTCATCAGGAAAAGAGAATTTATTTGACCACATTTACTGCTTATAAGATAGAAAAATATAAGTTCTGAAAAAATATTGTGGCTGAACATTGATCTACAAACATTGAAATAATAATAATCTCTGTGACTTTAAAAAACATTAAGAGACCACTGCAGCATGATCAGTTTCTCTGGTTTGACTATTTATAGGTATTTGTTTGAGTAAAATGAACATATTTGTTTTATTTGATAAACTAGTGACAACATTTTCTGTGTTGAAATTCAACAGACACTGGAATGACTGCTATACATGCAGAGATTGAGATTTAAGAAACATTTGGAGTGGTCCCTTCATTTTTTCCAGAGCTGTACATTTCATATGAATGTAGTCTCACCACAATATATTTCCATTATTTCATTCAAACAGCCCACATACCACTGAGTGCTCAATACGCATGATTTTAAATAATTAAACTGCTCAGATTGTTGCATGATCCTGGTACAATACGTATTTACATATTGCTAATTGATCCAGTTGCTGCTATTGTGCCTACTAATTGACCACCAATTACGTCATTAGTCTGTGTTAGGCTGTTTTGATAAGACTTAACTACTTGCAGATGAGATACGTGCAGACCCTGCAGTATCTATGTAACCAATCTGTGCTGTCTGCCACTAAGAACATGTAAATTACTAACAATTATCCAGGCATTTACTGTATGTCTAAGCCAAAATACTGAATGCTAACGAAACAATGAATGTAAAGTTCATTGTAAAGTGATAATACAATCCCTATGCATTGTACAGTCTCAGTTGGAGAGATCATCAGTCTCATCACCTCTGAGTCTTTCCAGAGCAAATGAACATCTTCAGTTTGATCACCATTACATGATAAAGGGAGGTATTGGGTCTAATGCCAGCCTGAAGGCTTGTAACTCCACCTGAATGAGACAAAGTTAGTACAGAGCCTTGGCATGGCCATACAAGGAGAAAAATCATTGGCAAAGATGCCTTCAGTATTCAGTTCCTTTGGTTTCATATTGACCAATTAATAAAGGTTTATAGTTTTCTTATATTTATTAAGAATGTTTTAATCTATATTACGCAAAGAAATAAAGAAAATCTTGGCAGTAAAGTACTTTTTAAAACGATTGTCCGAATTGCTTTTATCCAAAAAGGCCAGGGTAAAGAGAGTCAAAAACCACAATCAAAATACATAAAATACAATTTGGTATATGATAAACGTTTTGAAGTTATAATATCACATTTGGAAAACCTTGACATGGCTTTTATCAGAAATGTTTTACGAAGAATGACCAGACAACAGAAATGTGTGAAAAATATCAAATTTATTTCATTAAAGGTGGGGTATGGTAATTCACTTCAGAAACACTTTTTGTTATATTCCATGGAATGCTCTTAACATCCCGATAGCAATGAATATATGAAATGCTTTGACAATAAATACATAAAAAAATGTCATCTGTGGAAGCCGTAGTACTGTAAAAAGCACGACCAATTATTTTAGCCGGCCCGGCTAAAATAACTGGATGGCCTACCTGCCTGTCAGCCTTCCATCTGTGCACAAACTTATCTCGTGCCCTCATTAGTCATGTGCGCGTTTGTGTGTGTTGGAGGAGGGGCTCTGTAAGGAAGTCTGAAGGAAGGGGCAGATATTTTTCGGCTGCGTACTTTCAAATTCTAGCTCACTCGAGCTGGTTTCTCCATTCTTACCTAACCTACCTTTAAGGGCGGAATATTAAAGTAGCCTTAGGCACGTTCACACCGGAGTACTTTTACCCCGTACTTTTACCCCGTACTTTTACCCCGTACTTTTCCCGTTTAGTTCCGTTAGTACTCCTGATGTCGCGTTCACACCAAAAAGAGTACTTAATGCCGGGAACTTTTACCCCCATTTTCAGTGCCTGCTAGAGAGGTGGTACCAAAAAAGTACCAATTTCTATTGGCTGGGCGAATTGCAAACCACGCCCCGTAAAACTTCAAAAAACATTTTTTGAAGCCGCCATTGTATTTGCTGGCATTAGCATTATTAGCATTAGCATTAGCCCCGCGCACCAACGGAGAGAGAATAACTTATGGCAACACAAAAGAAAACATGGGAGTGGTGGAGTGATGAGGGGGTGTCGGCGTTCTGGCGATTTACTCGGAAGGCTTCAGTAGCAGCTGCTGGGTGTCCCAGCAGCTTCTACTGAAGCCAGTCCCCAACTCCGGGGACTTCCGGCCGGGGACTTCGGGTGGCAGTATACGCCGTGAAGTTGTTTGCGGCCTGCCAGTAAACCCAAAGCAGAAGAAGAAGAAGTGACGTCAGCGGCTCATTTGCGTAATCTTCCCTCAGGGAAAAGTACTCCGGTGTGAACGCGATTGGTACTTTTTGCCCTGGGGTGCACTAAGTACGGCAAAGTACTTGGTGTGAAAGCGGCTCTTGACTCTGAAACAGCAAGAACTTGCTACACCTGAGATCCTCTAGCTTTTTAAAACAGATTTCAGATAAGAAAAGTATTTCTTTATTTTCATTGTTCAACAACATTCATGGTCAATGAAAGCATGTGTTCATTTCCACAGCTGTTTTTAGCTCTGTAGCACATTGTGGATCTTTTCAGGTTAACTACCAGATCTTTATCCAACATTGAACAGTTACTTCCACCATGGTATATATCATGAGCATATGGTACTTCACCTGCATGAATAGACAGTTTAAAGCCACTCACATGTTCAAAAAAGACTTGGCGAAAAGCTGAAACATAAACGGTGTGAAATGTCCTGTAGAGCTAGAAAGAGGATTTGAAGGGTCTTAATGCTGTGCTAAATATCTAAAACAGGCTCATAGACCTGTGACTGTATTTATTAAGTGTCTCTGATTTGTCATTTTAAAATGGCCAAAAACCTTTTATAAACTAAGAGTAAAAAGATTTTAAAGTAAGACTCAAAATCTTTCCGAAAAACTGCGGAGAAAAGTGTTATTATAAACACCTATGCTGCGTCTTGGTGTCCGGTAAACTTTCAAACTCATCGATTCATCATTCTTATCAGCCAGGCAGTCCTGATTTATTCTCTTCACTACCTTTCCACCTACTCAGTCTTTTCAGATGAAAGAACAGCTGTAAAGGATGTCATAAATTACACCCACTTGTTATGAGAAAGCTGTATAGCAGATGAGATTCAGTTGGGGCGGGAAGAAAGTCATACACAGTGTAAAAGAAACACAGTATGATTGAAAGACAAACAGTCAATCTTGCAAGTCGAATAAATATTTCTTACTTTTGTTTGGTGAAAATATGATCTTCTGTTTTTTTGGGCAATCTATACTGTTAAAATACTTCCAAAACCTTCCCCTTCAAACAGTCACATGATCATAAATTTGCATTTATGACATTTGAAAATGTCAAAAATGAATGTGTTTGTTTTGCTCGAGCAACTTGTGGATCCCCTCCACACACTCCCCTTTTCCCCCGACAACTAATGGCTGATGGTAATTACATTTAATGAGATCATGGGGTCGTCTGTAGAGTGCACTTCTGCAAATTGCTCTCAGCGTGGGGTCTGAAGTGGGATAGGGTAGGGGGCAACGAGGCAGTGGAGGAGTGTTTGTCCAGTGTTTGGGGGCCTGGGCCCACATAGGCTCTACCTGTCACTCAGTGAGCAGTGAAACATGTCATGCATTTGTCTGCCTTTGTCCTAATTTGTTTGTCTGGCAGAGATAACCACACAGAGGTGATGCTTGTCTCGTCTCTATTGTATGCAACGGTTGTCAGCCCATCACGTCCATCCATCTCCAGCCGGCCCCCTTTCTCCCCTCTTTTCCTTTCTCCCTGCTCCACGACTGGTCATTTTGCCACTATTTTCTAGCTGCAGGGGGTGACCCGGGCAATTTAGTTAATCCATTAACAACTAATTGTCTCCTCCTACCCTGTTTTTCTTTAACAAACAGCCCGGTGGGGGGGAAGTTTAGCCACAGTGACCTATAAAAGTCACTCTGGAAGAGGAGGCAACCAATGTCACTGCGTCGATCACTGTAGACTCTCTGCACATTTACTGGGACTTTTAAACTTTGGATTTTTATTTCTCATACTAAACAAGTGAATCATCTTTACTTTGAGTCACCTAGTTTTCAGTCTCACAAGCTTTTATTTATTTTAATTTGTTGGTGGAAATGTTGGGCAATCTGAGGATGCTCTGCCTGTGTCTCTGCTTCTCATGGGCTGAAACTCGTATATGGGCCTGGATGCTCAACATGCCTCACGGCCCTCCCAAGGAGGGATCAAAAGCCCTAAGAGACAGCGCTGCTTTACCCAAAGCAACTACGGTAAGATACTGGATACTGTGCTACTTACTATAATGAAATTCAAACCTTTATTTAATCTTCTTAGAAATCGCAAGCGTTCTTTTGAGCTATATTTGAGATATTTGTTATAATAGCAATACAGATCGATTTATTTAAAGGGGTAGTGTTGGTCAGAGCTTATACGCTTTTCAATTTTTTTGCAGTAAAATATTCTCAGAAAGCTCAGAAACTCATTGTTTAGAGAATATAGTAATAATCAGTGTTAACTCTCCCTACTAATATGTAACTTGTGCTGTAAATTGTTAAAGACCATTAAGTCCAATAATTCCATGTTCAGGATTTTTACAAGTTTTAACATAAGTCTCTGTAAAGTTTTAACATTTCCCTTGTTTTTTCCCCCAGGCTGTGTGCGACCATGACAGGGCCTGTGGGCGCGGTTTCTCCTGCGATCGTCACTTTGGCCTTTGTGTTCCCCTACGAGGGGAGGGCCACTACTGTCGGAGGGATGCCCAGTGTGTCCGTGGACTCAGCTGCATGTTTGGAAAGTGCCACCGCAGTATTCCCAATGGACAAGAGGGTAAGAGTGCAAAAGCTAAGACTAATATGAAACATTAATAAATTGTCATTGTCAGTTTGTAGTTTCTAAACAACTGGAGCTAAAATAAACTGATGTTTTCCTTCACCCAGGTGCCAGATGTAAAGTTGATAGGGATTGTGGGGATTCTATGTGCTGTGCTCGACACCACGGTGAGCAGGTGTGTAAGAGACGTCTGATCCGCAGCCAGAGCTGTTTTGTTCCCGATGGCGGCTTGGCATTCAGCATAAACCAGATTTGTCCATGTGATGAGGGGCTACTGTGTCGAAAGGACGGAGCTTCACAGCAAAGAGAGTAAGTTCAGCAAATCAATCTTCAAATCATTTTCATCTTAAATTATTTACTCAAAAAAACAAAAGACTCCAGGGCCTGCAGTGGTGATAATTTGTTAGGGAATTTGCACCACTTAATTAGAGCATAAAACCATGCAGGTACTGCGTATTTCAAGCCATTTCTTTACATTTTGTAAGACTGGGACACAGCAAAGGTTTTTGGTATTGTGTTCATGAAAAGAATACTCAAAACAGTCACCATACACACGAATAAAACCTCATTTTTCGGAATGTTATCGGTTTACATTATAGTCCCAAAGTGAAACGGGGGACCTATTCACAGCTGGAAAAAAGTAAAGCTAATTATGGATGTCATTAAAACAGCTCCAAAGACAGCTGAGATAAAGCAAAAAAAAAAGCAATTAAATCCTTTGAAAAACATTTTTTAGACAACATTTGTGAAGTTTTATCGGCAGTTACATTCCAACGACGCAGTTTTTATTTATACGAGCATTGGTACACTTTTTGTATTATTTCCTTTTTGTATGGAAACTGTGATTATTTGTTACTAACAAGCTTGATAGGAGTAATGGGTATTTCAAGGACCAATGTTCCTTTATAATCTGAGCAACATGTTTCTAAAACATGCTTGAAAAAAATTCCAACATATTGTTTTTAAGATGATAATAAATTACCTGTTTTCTTGTTTTAACCACATTTTGTTTGTCTTACAGGATAGATTTTATTTACCACCCAGAACGATCAAGTTGGACCTGCCAAGTTCCCAAATCCTAAAGCCAGCATTATCCTTGAAGCTATTTATTGTGTAAATATGTTGTATATGGTTGTATATATAAAAAAGTGTATGTTTTTCTAAAGATAGATTTCTTATTTGAGTCTTACAGCAAGGATGTTTTTATTATTATTTCATTTTGTAATTGTTGACAAAAGCACTACTGTATCTAGCTTAACAATGCCATAAGTTCCCTTCATCATGCATTAAATGATCTTTGATTAAATCTATTTTAAGTGTCTGTTACCATTTTAATTAAAAAAAAAAAATTATAATAAAGTCGTTTTTTCTTTGTACTGAAATCACTTCATTTTCAAGCTGCACAGATGGCCCATAATCAATAATCATACACATAAGAAAATGTATAGAATAAAAGGTTTTGCTGCTCTCTTGTGGTGAACATACACCTAGAAGGTTTATTTGATGGTAATTATTACAAACACAATACAGGTCTTTTGCCACTTACTTCAATCTAGTGTTAGTTCAATGACTTAACTTCGCTTCAAAACTACATAGAAAAGCGTAGCTCAAGATAGTTTTGATAATTTTCCCCCATTTATTATATTCATAATCTATTAGTTGCTGAATTTAATAAAGCTGTTGTGACATCTTTCAAGAAAGTTAATATTTCACACTCTAAAGATGCAGTGTCACTTTGAAATGTAACAGGGACTGAGCCTTTTTTTGTTAAGCAGGCAGGGTTACATAAAAAAGAAACAACCAAAAAAAAGGCGCTGTAAAGCTAGCTGTCTCCTGGCCCGTTCTTAGATCGGTATCTTCCTTACCGACTCCCCTGTCGCTCTATTCAGATGCTAATTCTCTGCAGCTTGCCTCTTCAATTGCGGGCTGACTTGAATTGTTCTATGAAGGACATTAGTGTCTAACCTTTTCTGCTATCGTTTTACAGCTCTCATCATTAAGTCTTTGCAAGGAGTTATTTGATCCTGTGAAGGGAAGTGCATGTCAATACAGCAAATATTTAAAGCTTTATTAGTGCATTTGAGGCATACTATCTAACTTTTCCCTTCCCTTGAGCAACTTTAGTTACCAGCTGTTTGAATTTCTTAAAAATGGCTGATTTAGCAAATATATCAAACCATGAAAAACTGGGAACTGAAATATGACATCCATCTTAAGCTACTGAGGCTGTAGGCAGAATGATACATCCAATACAAATTATGTAAACAAGCCATGAGAACACGCTTTACACACATACCTGATGTTGGCGACACAAAAGAGATAGCTTATCGCACAAGACTGAGAAACCCTATATTACTGAATGGTGTAAAACACAGGCCTATCATCTCCACTGTAGAACACTAGTCAGTAGTGTATGCCTGCTCTTATCTGAGCTGCCATCTCTTACAGAAGGTATCCATACATGTCTGTTTGCACTATTTACCTACTTAAATGCTTCTCTTTTTGTCCAAGAGGACACAGAAAAGACACAAGGCCTATCTGTGACACAAACAAATGTACTGCAAAGCTTTTTTATGTGTCTCTTGTAAAACATATGTTGTATCTCAAGAGATATATGTTAAAGGAATATTTAATGGCTCAGGCAGCCGTCGTTTAGCTTAGATTAGCATAAAGACTGGAAACAGTGGGACACATCTTGCCAGGCCATGTCGACCTACCAGCACATCTGAGACCCCGTCCACACGGAGACGAAAACAAACCGAATTCGATATCAAAAAAGTCTTCCGTCCACACGGAATCGGCTCAAGAAACGTGTCCGTACACACGAGACCGCTCGACTCGCTGGAGACGCTGTAGTACATATGCCGAGCATGGTTGCCTGGTTGCCCTTCTGTTTATTCTCCGCGGTGGATTTAGCAACATGTAGTTCATGTAGTTCTCCATGTCCACTTGTTGCTGATGGTTGTGGTAGAGGAGCTGTAGATTTTGCACTAACATCTGTATCATGGTCAGTAGCGTCTGGAGCACGAAAGCAACCCTGTGATCCGCCATTGTTGTTGTTGTTGTTGGGGAAACACATCAGCAATGACGCGGGTGACGCGGGGGTGAGCAGCAGAGGTGGGGCTATGGCGTCATCGCTATCCGGAAATTATCGTATAGGGCGTACACACGGAGCCGTAAGCGTTTCGTCCGCAGATCTTCTACCCACCTTGGGAGCCGTTATCGTTATCCGCGTTTCCGTGTCGGCCTCGTGTGGACGAACCGTCTATACGTTAGAGAACTGTAGCGGATACAACCCGTTTCGTCTCCGTGTGGACGGGGTCTAAAACTCACTCCTTAACCTTAAAAAAACAAATTGTGTCTGGGTTTATTTGTTGTTCAACACAAGAAAGTTAGTGGTCCCAGCCAAGAAATAAACCCAATTAAAATAGCAGGTTATCCATTTTATAATATGGTTTCATTGTTTAAAATAAATAATAACCTGTTAATTTCTGAGCTTGATAGGTGCAAGTCGCTGGATTTTGTTCCCTTTTGGACAGAACCAGGGAAGCTGTTTCCGCCTTTCAGTATTTTGCTATGCTAAGCTAACCAGTAGTAGCTTATACATTGATCTTCCTTTTTACAATAGAAACTGATTGAGAATATTTCCAAGATTGAATATATGAACAAACCATTTTTTACAGCACTTTGATATGGATAAAACTAAAATATACTGTAGCATTTTAAAAATAGACCCTTTTTACACAAGAACATTCTATAAGCTCAACGTTGAGCTTAAAGTCCAGTATCTGCCACACTGAAGATGCTCGTTAAAAAGTGAAATACATTAATCTTGAAAGTCATAAATGTAGGCTGTTCATCGTACAATTAACACATTTTCCTCTATGCCTAATTCTAGAAAAAGTTACTTTAAGCTCTCTGAGAGGTAATCCTGAGAGACGCTGGTCATTTAAAAGTGAATGTCTGAGCAGCACAGAGAGCTTTTGTGAGCAGCCTCACAAAAGAGCTCTTAAACCTGTAAGGGGGGAGAAGTTGAGATAGGAGAGAATGGGGAGAGTTGATTACACTCACCTGTGATGCTATAAAACCTCCTGAAGATGTCAAGATGTTATAGAAGCACTCATGCTGTAGTTTGTTGAAGAGCCATGATGATATTTTGACATCAGACTTTTCAAATTTTGAGTCAACTCAGACTCTTTTTTTTTTCTTTTTACAGGTGAGTCTCTTTTACAATGACAGATTAAAATAATTATTTATTGAATATTCTGTCTATAAATATTTTCTTAAATCTATCTGCAGCATCACAACATGGCTTTTGTGGGTGCATTGTTAATGCTTTTGCCTGTTGCGTGGACATGCTCTCCCCAAAAAGCAGGTAACATCTTATTTATCACATAACATCCACAAATATTCCTGTGGATCAAAGATTGTTCAGGTTCATTGGAAGTTTATTGTAAGATGTAACCCTTATCATACTAAATCTTCAGATCTTTAGACCCTCCATTCGGATCAGGAAAAAAAAGTTTATTGGAAAAAAGAGTAAATGGAATGAAGTCAATTTGTATATACAGAGTAGAAGAAGCAGCAATAGAAATACTAGACTGACAATATTAAGTTAATATTCCTAGTTTTAACTAAAGTAAGTTTCAGGCTAAATATAAAAGTGTTAAGTGATGATGCAAATTATTATTAACAAAGTGTGTCTCTATGATTGTGTCTTATTTCAGACTACGTGATGGTGTCATGTTTCCCCAACGCCATCATTGCCAACGTCCCAGAGTGTCCCTACGGTTGGGAGATCGAACAGCTGTCCCTGGGTGGGGTTTGTTACTCTGGAATACACAGCCCAGGCTACTACCGCTTTATCATCCCAGACCTGACTCCCAAAAACCACTCGTACTGCGGCACGCACTCTGAGGTGAGACACTATTAAAGTTACAATACCTCTAGTACCTATAAGTATGGTGATAGTTGTTGTTTTCTTGCCCAGTGGTAGTCTGCCAGAAGCTGTCACAATTTGACTTTGTAACCATGTTCAAGAAAAATCTTTTACGCTACAATTTATAGATCTTGATCAGTTTAAACTATATATTTTTACCAGAATTAAGATTTTCGGTCATCAGACGTCTGCATCCTAATCTATTATAAAAACAAGCTGAGCAAACAGCATCAGAGAACACAGATGTTTAAAATGAAACTATGAGAAGCTTATAAAGACAACAACTCCCAAACTCAATGTTTCTTTAGTTTTGATTGAGAGACCCCTATTGGCAGAAATGACAAATTGTACATTTAAAAAGTCTCGTTTCAAAAATGTAAATTATAATTTTGTCTCTCTAATGTGGATTTTTCACAGTACATACCTGGCAAAGACCCTAAGTACGTCTTCTATAACTCCATTGTGTCCAACGACACGTCGCTCACGGTCAGAAACCAGCCGGTGAACTACAACTTCAGCTGCATGTACCGAGCAGCCTACCTGGTTAATAACGCAGTGTTCAGCCAAAGGTAAGCATCGATACACGACACAAGGCGACATCTGTTACCGTGCAGACGATGAGTGCATTCTAACCCAATGACTTGCAGTGTTTTTACTAAACCCTCTGCTTTTTTCAGAGTGGCAACAGTTTATGTCAACAACGGGAGTTTAGGCACTTTTAGGTCACAGTTGTCCATGACTGTTTTCACGGTGAGTAGCAGTTCACAGATTTAGTTTCTCCAGTGGGAGGTTATAGTCATTAGATACATGCAAATAAAAGATTGTCAGGCACGGTCAAATAAAAAAATAAAACATATATAAAATATAAATATATATATTGTAGAATTCAAAGTTCCTGTATGCCAAAGATGCTCCCTATGTGATCGAAACGTCTGAGATCGGCTCTGAAGTCTTCATTGGCATCGAGGCCAAAGGACTAAGTAACAGGTATATAACACATTTCAAAATGTTCCTGACATCTAGTTTATGTTCCATACAGAGTGGATACTTTATATTATCATTTGCTGAACCTCTCAGATTCAAAGTTGTGATAAACAACTGCTGGGCCACGCCGAGTCCATACTCAACAGACAAGAAGAGGTGGAGTCTCATCATCAGCAGGTACCCTTGCGCCTCACTAAGGACTTTTTTTTTACATCCCAATTTTGTTTCAAATGTTGGAAGTTTAACTTCAGCTCCTAAAGAAAAAATAAAATAATCTGTGTGATTGGGAGTATGGCCATTAGAGCTTAAAATAACGCAAACTTTTATATCAGACTTTTAATCTTCTTTTATTTTCTTATTTGCTTGTTAAGCGTCTTAGAGCTCTAGGAAAAGCGCTATACAAATACCATGTATTATTATTACTATTATACCTATTGGGCAAATACATTCTGTTTTCCTGGTATCCAATATTATTGTATGTAGTATTATAGAGCATTGCAGTGTTTGATTTAATTCATCCAAATCAACGTTGTTGTTAATAATTGCCATATTCCTGACTGTTACAAACGTTGTATACTGAAAAAACTGAAACGTTGACTATAATTAAATGTATTATGTCACCAGATTTCACATAACTGTATAATGTTAGTTGAAAGCAATAATACTACGTTTAAATAAAAAAATATTAGGTTCAACTTAATATTATTGCTAACCTAATATGGTTGTGTGAAATTAGTTGATAATGCATTTAATTAAAGTCAACATTTCAGTTTTTTCAGTGCAGTGAATCAGGTCTTAAGTAGTTAGAATATTTACCCCAGTGAGGGCTGATTATTATATTAATCTTTAATATTGGTATTGCTGTTTTTTCTTTTTTGTCAATTTTCAAAAGTGTGACACAATGTTCAAGTCCCCTTCTCCCTTAGAAATACAAGTTAACTTAAATAAACGTATTTGTCCTAGGTCAGCCAATGGTTTTTGATGTACTAATACCTCTGATGAGTTTATATGATGTTTTAAAGTGTAGTTGAATGTAAAGGAATCTCTTCTCTATGCCACTTTTGATTGGATGAGTTCTTCAGCAGGTTCAGCAGTACTGTAGGTAAAATGTTGTTTATTTTCCAACAGCTGTTCCTCCGATAACACTGTGACTATTTTTGAGAATGCCAAAGACAGCCGCTCCACGTTCAAGTTCAACTCTTTCCGCTTCCAACGGCTGGAGAAGGTTTCCACCGTCTGGCTGCACTGCGAGGTCCAGGTCTGTGATGGAGAGAGGCTCGTCTGCCAGCCAGTGAGTATAACACCTTTAGATAATATCAAAACCTTAAACCACTAGGAAGTCTTTATTCCTTTCCTGTTTATACATTTCAGAGAGAAACATTTTCTTTTGATTACATTTACATTTATAAGCAATCATTTTGCAGACACTTTTGCTTAATCCATGACAACATTCCTCTTTTTATTTGGAACAGCTTAAAAAAGAATTGACATACATGATGAATCATATCGTAGTGAATATTTGAATGCATATGTATACTTTTATTTGAATATTTATTTCTAAGTATTCTTAGATTAATTTGACAATTTAAACTTCATTTTCCTGCTCGTCACTTTCCTAAAGGCCCCCTGCTCGTCCAGAAGTTTGTTAGCAGAGGCAGAACCGAGTGGGGGGGTCCTTACTGCCGAGTTCCACCTTAAAGGTATAGTACGCCATGTTGCCTATTCATGCTGAGGTGTTTTGAATATTTTTAAATATTAGACAACTTTTAATTTAGAAAGTCAAACATCCCAGTGAAGTTAGAATAAGTAAATACAGGTTTTGGTGCTGGAGGACTTAATCAAAGCCAAATGTAGCATTGTTGTTCCACTTCTTTCAAATAAAGAGTCTCAGAACGCTGACTTTCCCTACAATGTACGTTTTAAGTTGTTGATTTAGTTTTTTGTCACTACTGTATACGTTTTTATGTTGTATTCTGATTTTCTTGTATCTCCTGACAGGTATTAATTCCTCCAATAATGGACACATAAAAGGTAAAACACATGTGATGCAATGATAACTATGATTGAAAAGTATTTGAATAATATTCAGAGATGTGGACAGGAATTTAAAAATACTGATATTTCATGTTTTCAGTTCCCTGTTCAATCGTTGTGTATTTTTTTGTTTGTTGCTAAAATGCTGTTTCAAAGCCTTCAATACAATACCAGAATTGAAATTCTGGTAGAAATAGGTGTTTCATTTATATGTTGACAATGAAGTCATAAAATGTTAAAACTTAGGGAGAAGAAATCTGAGAGGATACGAACTCTAGCTAAGCTAGCTACATCTAATCTTGTTGAAGGTTGTTTCTCTTTCATCGTCCTCTTATTTCTCTCCCATCGACATTTGATCTGGTCTCTACAGTATGTTCTTTTTCCTCTACAGGCACTTCACTTTTCATCCTGCTGGCTGTCTTCATAAACACATGTTGTAATTTAGTAAATGGATCAAGAATGTGGTAAAAGATTGTATTCACGTCACCCCTCACTCAAATGAAAGGACATTCTCACCATCTCACAGATATTATTTGTATTTAGCCATGGATACTCTATTAACATGTCACATATATTACTTCACTGCTCTCTCCAATAAAGATTAAATGACATTTTGGAAAATAAATTATCCTTGTCCCTTTTGTCCCATGTCATGGCCATTTCTACTGATCATAATTCCATTGTTGAGGTCTACTAGAATAGATTTACATTTTGCAATGTGTTACAATGGCGTTTGATAGCAACCAGAAAATGACACCAGTAATGACAAACAGATGAGAATGCTGCGTGGGGTCTGGGTGCCGTGTTGGCGGGACGTTGCGGGGCTCGCTGCTCCGCCCTTTGAGGATCAAGGAGTGGACAGTGTGAGCTGTATTACTGGTGTCATTTCCTGGTTGCTGCGTGGGGTCTGCGAGACAAATAATATTTATTAAATTCCAATAAATCTACCCAGAAAAGGTGTGAATGGATTTATTGAAACATAATCATTTTGATTTCATACAGCAAGACAGAGTAAAAGTATAATGTTTTTTAAATTACTTCTCTTGTAACATGTTAAATATATCAAAGTTATGTTATACTTTATACTAATAACAAAGCTTTATCTATTCATTCCTTGTTTGTCATATTAAGACATCATATAAATATATTTATATATATATATATATATATATATATATATATATATACAATTGCAAGAATAAATATGTCCGTGTTATCAGAAAATGACGTGTCAATTCATATCAAAACAAGCAGGACCTTTTTACTTTAGCATTGAATCAAATTATCCGGTGTAAAAGTGTTATCTATCTAAATCACAAAGTATTAACATTAAAAGTATAATCGGCAGGAAAAAAAAAAAAAATGTGATCTAGTATACCAGATCTTCACTGTTTAAAAAAAATAATAATATATATATATAGATACATTTATAATCACTCTATTCCCTTTTAGCATTTTGTCTCTTCTTAATAAGTCCTCTTGCATTCTGTGATACCCACCAAAAAGTGCTTTGTAGATATCCTTTATCCAAAAGTTGTGTTGTTCTCTACATGTCTACTCTAGTCATCATAGATTTTGTGAGGGTTTTATGGGCCCGTTTCTCAGCGACTCTGACCATTCCTAGTTTCTGGAAAGATCACAGATACATTTGAAAATAAAACACTGATTTTCACACAATACTACATTCATATTCAATGGGTTTATCATAAAAAGGGAGTGTAATGTGCGCTAACTGTACCTCTGTTTGTTGTTTCAGATTATTAGCGTGTGGAGAGCTGTGAGCAATAAGAGGAGGATTAAATTCCTGTTTGCTCAGCAGCCAGTAAGTCTTGTGAGATCCTTTACCCTGTCATGGACCCAAACACACTGGTTAAAAACATAGGATTTACATGCTATTGGAGAAATATTAAGACTCTCTAGTCACCTTCATTTCTATTGCTCCTCTTTCCTCCAGCTCAAACGATCCAGCCTGGAACAGAATGTCAGCAGTGCACTGAGATATGTGAATCTTCAGGGCTGTAAAACATACAGAAGAGAGTGGCACACATCTTAAAAAGTACACTTTTAAGATACAAAAATGTAGACATTTTAAAAGTTAATTTCAAGTAAAATGTCTGTGACTAACAAGACTATGCTAATGTTAGCATAGTCTTGTTATGTTAGCATAGTCTTGTTAGTCTGGTGTTTTCCCGGTTTAGCAGGCCTGTTAGCATGCTAATATTAGCTGATACATTTTTGGAGATATGCAGTGATAAACCAACCAATTGTTTGACTTGATGCTGCTATAAGAAAAGTCAAAGGATCAATAGACTCATCATGAGTCATCTTTTTGCACATTAATAACAACCAACTTTGTATATTTGCATTTGCGAAGGTGAGACTTCAGTTCAAGGTTCAAGGTTCAAGGTTCTTTATTGTCAATCTGACATAGCTACAGAGTAATTATATAGTTGAAAATCTTATGTCACAGGCTTCTCCAACAGTGCAACATAATAACATAATAACAATAAGAGCAAGAGCAATACAAAAAGAATAATAGTTATAAAATAAAATAAAGTGATGCAGTACGAGTCTATATACAAGTTATTGGAATGATATATATATATATATATTAGGTATTAGATACATACTACTGATTAGCAGATGAATGTTTGAAGTTGTTTCAACAGTTCACTCACGTAAGCTGTTGCTTTCCATGCGAGACGCAGTGTTCACCGTGTCGCCAAAGAGACAGTAGCGTGGCATAGTGGTGCCTACCACTCCAGCAACCACTGGACCTACAACAAGGTGCTTGTATTTATGGGCTCAAAATGATCCAATGTCAATTATATTATGTAAAAACAGATACCAAGTGTATAGGACAAAAAATTAATTAAAAGGAAACGTAAATCCTGCATACTGTTGGTTGCTTGTAAGAACTACATGTCTCTTACCAGAATGTATACCAATGCGGATTGCAAGACTCTCATTGGGCATATGGTGGATTTTGAAGACTTTGATGGCTCCCAGGAAATGCAAAGCCATTGTAGATATCTCCAAAGCGTGCTGATTGCCATTGCTGATGGGTAGACCACTGGCTACCATGTATGCATCACCAATTGTTTCCACCTATAGCAAAGATGATAGTCTCAGTGGCATTTTTTAAGTAACAATAGAAAGCTGTTCCCTGCTAAAGAAGCAATGTGCAATTTAATGAAAGAAATCTACATTTCATAGTAATAGTTATTGGGTAACATGCTTGATTGCCTTCTTGCAGAGACAAAGAGGATCAAAACCACTCATATTTCCGCGGTAAATTTTAAGCTACAGTTTAGTTTCGTTTTATTAAACATATTTATGTCGGGAAGATGTACAAACATACATTAAAGGTCTCCTATCATGCTAAATGCACTTTTTAATGTCTTTAATACATAGATATGTGTCCCCGGTGTGTAAGGCAACTCTCAAAGTATCAGAAAACAAAACCCTCTCTCTTTTCCTCCGTACCCAAATCTCTAAAAACGGGGATACAACGGAGCTGATCCAGATTTGCTGCCGATATTACGTAATATCAGAAATGTGGGCTGGCTTTATGCCCACGGCCCTATCAGAAACGTCGCTATCAGAAACAATGCGCAACGTGTTTTGGAAGTAATATGGTCTTTATTTACATGAGCAAGTATCGCTAACACTCAGAGCTGACGCTGTACTGGAGAGAGTACGTGTAAAAAAGCAGGATATAAAAAGGTACTCACCCACCAGGTGGTAAACCCACAAGAAAAAAAGCATTTGAGCTCCATACTGTTTCAGAAATAATCCTTGATGTGGTTTTGAACATGATATGGCGTTTAATCACAGCAGCATTTAGCTGACAATCTCTCGGTAGAATTCTCCTGCATAAGCTCCCCTAGAATGGGTGATCTGTTTGGTATTTTGAGCAAAACACTTCATAGACATGTTTTTTATATATTTTTATATATCTGAGACTTTAATATATGCCTAAAAATAGTATAATAAGAGACCTTTAATCAAAATAAAAGATGCTTTGTACCAGATTTAGCTAGCTTACTCTGTTGCATCTCCCTGGCACGCCTTAATGTTGATGCTAATTTTTTGCCACAAAATAGATACATAAATAGGGTAGGTGACGTCACAGAGACTAAGCCATTATTCGTACAGTCTTTGATTTAACCAGGCCAGCTGGGTTCACCTGTTTCCAGTCTTTGTGCTAAGCCAGGCTAACCAGCTGGTAGCTATGCCTTCATTTTTGCAGCACAAAAATCGATTATGTTAATTTCCCCCCAAAGAATAAAACATATTTTTGATTAAAGCATATAACTTCAGCATATCATTTAGACAGCAGGTCACAGAGCCAACACTTTATGAGTTTTCTTCTTCACTCAATGCATACAGCTGAATGAGAAACTAAAAGTGCTTTGCATGACTTACTTTATAGACATCGTACAGCTTGATGACATCATCAAAGAGGCTGTAGAGGTCATTGAGGAACGTCACCACCTCCATCGCAGAGCTGACGGAGCACATCGAAGTGAAGCCCACGATGTCGGAGAAGAAGACGGTAACCATGCTGTAGCTCTGTGGCTCCACCGACTTCCCCGCCATCAACTGATCGGCGATGATCCTGCCACCAAAGAAGCACCAGCACTGAGAAGGTGAGGGATGGACGTCCATTTAACTGTTGTCATGTGATTCAAATGTATCATTTTGATATGTTACCTTGGTAACATGGTGGAGAGAAGCTTATCTGCACGGATCTTCTCCGCTGTGAGCTGATCGGTCCTCTCCTCCACCACCTCCTCCAAGTGATTTGCATATTTCTCCAACTTTTCCACCATACTATCGAGTATATTCGCATGACTACAGTACAGAAAATAATTACAATCCTTTAAGGAATTTTCAGGTTTAGTTTGTTCGTTTGTGATTTTTTTTTTTTTATATTCATTCTCATTTAAAAAAATGTTAACATAAGCAGATGGGCATTTTAACCATGTTTGCTATTGAGTCCTTGAAGGACAATTTACCTGAAAATTAAAAAAAAAGATGTTTAGTTTACGTGTAGCACTATTTATTTATTGTACTAGATTTTTTGGCTGTGATTTGCAGTGTTGGGATTGTCGGCCACAGAGGTATTTCTGTTCACTGAAATATAATGGAACTGGAAAGCACTCTAAATAAATGTTCTCATAAACAGTGGATGGATTATCTTGAGTAAAGAGGTAATCAATTCCTGAAAAAGACATTGCTGTTGAGTGTTTTAAAATGTGCTTTGTCGTTTTACACACCACAAGCCGATAGCCATCTAGTTCCATTATATAACAGAGAAGACAGATAACCATGGCCGATATCTCCAACGCTTGGCTACTCACACCAAAACGATCTAGATAGATAAAAGCACTACAGGTTTAAGAACAAGATATGCACTACCTTTAAGCATTGCACATGTATTCAGTCACTACAGTTATTTCCAAGGTCGACATATTACATACGGCAGACAGGGATAACCTTTTATTTTCTCACAGCCTTTTGGAAAGTATAAGGTAAGACAAAAAAGGTCTGTGTGTGGCCTGACCTTTCTGGGCTTATGTTCCTCAGCTCTCTCCGTATAGATGAAAACGGCGGTCGGCGGTCAGGGTTTTCATTCCAGCAGGCTTTCAGCACTACGTTTATTTTCTCATCACACAGCATATCACAGAGTACTGGGCGGAGGGGTTCCCCTTGGAAAGGCGTCCGCAACTGCATGATAATCTCTGAAGAAAAAAGGTAAAAATTGGAATCATCGTCGTGTTTGAATTTGAGTTTGAAAATGAATTGATATGCTTTTATCATGCTAACCTTTGGGCTCCAGGTTGATGTCCTGATAAGGGCCAGACTTAGCATTGTACATGAGCTCCCACATGATGATGGCAAAGCTGTAGATGTCAGCTTTGGGCGTCCCATTGACCTGAAGACCGAGATGTCTCAGAAGCTCGGGGGCTGTCCAGTAAATCTCTACAAAAAAACAAATCCCCTTGCATGTGTTACCTCCCTTTTATGATGTGTTCAATGCTGTTAAAAACATAAAATATGATTACTAGGCATTAGAGTGCACCCACTGACCTTCATGAACAGGGTTTTCCAGTGGGACAAACTTCTTTTGGTTCCCGTATTTAAACTCCCACAGGCCAAAGCCAGTGAGTTTAACCTGGAGTCGACTGTCCACCAGACATGTGCTGGGCTTCAGGTTCCCATGAAATTTCAGGTTACTTTTGTGAATAAACTCCATACCCTAAAACCCAGAGAAACAGATTCAAGTGATGAATTTTCGGTACAAATAAAAAACAACCTGTTTACATTTCAATGAATTGTCTCACATTGACAATGTCGTAAGCAAAAGACAGCTTGAACATCGCATCCAGGTCAACATCTGACTTCATAAGATCCTGCCGAAATCAGGGAAGTTAAATATATAATACACAATAACAATCACAGGGTCACTAAAGACACAAATGCAATATTGAGTTACCCAGGCTTGTTGTTGCTCACTTTTGTCATGTGTAAAACAATGCTGATATGAAAGTCATAATCACATAGTACGCCTTATGTTAGTTTAAATCAAGCTGGAGTAGATTATAAATATTTGAAATCATTTTAGCGCTGGTAAATAACCAAAAGTATTAAACAGAATAAGACAACCCCTTGTTATACTGTAGGTGATTTTCTACCCTTCGGGTTAATCCAGTATGGCTTTGGGTCTATATTGACTAACATTAACTAAGAGAAATGGGGCAGCTTTAATGTTGCAGTTCTGCTGTGATGTAAAGTATGAAATAGAAGTGTGTACACTGACCTTCAGACTGCCTTTCCTGCAATACTGGATGACCAAACAGACATTTGGTGACACGATGCAAACACCAAAGAACTGAACCAAGTTCTCATGTTTCATCTCTTTCATCTGTCTTAAAGAGTTTTACACGGGTTAGGCACAGTATGGAATTATCAGGGCTACTAATGTGTCCTAAAGAAAAGCATTTCAGCATTAAAAGGTTAACAAATGTTCTGTAGAGAAATAAGATAAATATGTTTATTTTTTCGCCTAAACACTAGTTATTACTTGTTATAGTTAGATTTACTATATCTGTATTAGGGTCACTCTTGGGGAAAAAATATGATGGAGCTGGTAGAAAGGGTAATATTCAGAGAAAAAACAAGATTAACGTTTTCAATTAAAAAAACGTGGATATTCAAGGGATTAATTTAATTATCTGAACTTTTTTCAGATAATTAAATAAATATATCATTTAATAATTATATATTTTCTGAGAATGTTGAAGGATTTATTTTAAACGTTATTATTGCACATTTTGATTTAAAATTTAATAATTCCTTTTTTAACATAGAATGGCCCTCGTTGTAGGATTTCACCTAAAATAAAAAAAAGATGCACTAAAAAATTAAAAGTATTTTTGATCCAGGACAACATGAGTGACTTTACCGTATTGAACTCTGCGATTATTGAAGGTTTCCCGAAATGCGAGCTAATGTTGTTCTTGAGGTACTTGATGGCCACTTGATTTCCCTACATGGAATTACATTACATACATTAAGGAAATCACATATATTAAGCAAACGGTCACAGTACATACTGTTATCTTTCTTACAGTGCAGACGCTTTTCTGCTTGCTCTTGCCTCTGCTTACTTTTTATGCTGATTTTCCTATTCTTATTCTCTGAAAACTTCGAGCAGCGGCTCCTGGACATTAACTTATCACTGGGACAGTTATTCATCGTAAATAGACGGAGGGTTTCAGCCATATTTCAACATTTTTACGACGACCTCAGTCTTACAGTAGCGTGGCCTAGCAACAGCTAAAGCCTGGTAGGCTACTGCATGCTATTTAGCTTAAGCTAGTTGGTAGCAAAATGCCTCCGTTCTCTACAGATGACTTCCACAAACTTCAACAGAAGATGGCTGTGTTGGAAATGAAAATGCAACGGTTGGAAGTTAACGTGGAAGTGAATGGACTATGTTGTGGGAATAACACCACTTTACCAGTGTTGCAAGATAATGGAAAAGGGTATGCTAACTCACAGCTAGTTAGCAGCTACAAGGTTTCCAAGGAACAGGAGGGCTGTGTACTGGGTAATAAATCTACAAGTGGTAGTCCTCCCTGGAACTCTCTGGGTGCAAAGCCTAAGAGTAAATCATTTCCATGGGATTTGGGAGGACGAATAACAGGCAGAGCCCAGCGCTCTGAAATCTGTGATGCGACCGGCTGGCCTGCATTGTTATCACCCAGGAAGAGTGCCTCTTCAACCCCTATTCATACTAGGAAACAGCCGTGGACAGCTGCTAAAGGGAGAACTACAAACAATCCTCCTAAACCACCAAGTGTGCCAATCCAGAACAGATACGCTCCGCTGACCGAGAACCGGAGATCTCTTTCTGATGACCTGGATAACCCGTCCTCTTCACACAGCAGGGTAAGGACCAATAGCTACTCCAAAAGTAAAAGGCTAGAGGGAAAGCTAACGACTGGGCCTGAAACTCTGATTGTGGGTGATTCTGCTGTAAGAGATGTAAAAGGTCTGTGTAGTAAGAACAACACCAAAGTACTCTGTTTTCCCAAGGATATGGTCTCCGACTTGGCTGAGAAGATCCTGCATATTGGGGCTGAACATCCGACTGTGAAGAATGTGGTACTACATATTGGAACAAATGATGTTGTGAAACAACAGTCAGAAGCGCTGAAAGAAGACTTTAAATGTCTGTTGGAAACTGTCAGCTCCCTAAATGCGGAGGTGTTCATCAGTGGCCCTCTACCGCCAGTCAGAAGAGGAGTGGAGAGATTCAGCAGACTGTTTGCATTGAACATGTGGCTTTCAGCTGCCTGCACTGACCATTCTGTCCATTTTATTGACAATTTTAACTTTTTCTGGGATCGCAGACATCTTTTTAAGGCAGATGGAGTTTGCCTGAACAAGTCAGGAGTGAAATTGTTTATCTCTAACATATTCAACTGCCTGCGTCAGCAATCTGTTCCCTCTGCCAAGGACAAGCGGCAAGAGGAATCAAAACAGGAGAAAGACACAACACATTGCGCAGAAAACCCTGAAGAAGTATCACTGCACCCGCCTGAGGAATGTTCTGATTATGGGAGACCTATGACACAAATGGAGGAGTCTCCACTGCCCATCACCCCCCCTGTCAACGCCTTGGAGGATACTCTTCATTCATCTCCCAGCTCTCTCTACTCTCCGCTCACCCTTTCACCCTCGCCCTCCCCCCTGGAGCTCGATGACCGCATGAAGGCGAGATGCAGGGTTGGCAGCATGTCCTTTACCCCCGCCCCTCAACGACGCCCACCAAAATCACCGAAGCAGAGACGCGCACCATCTCCCCCGTCTTCATCACTGTGCCTATGTCAACCACCTCCCATCCCTTCAAGAAAGCATCTGCAGTCTCCGAAGCCTGATAAGGATGTGTGTGTACAAAACGCAACAAACTTTTACTGATATGTGCTGGGTCCAGGCTCAAGGGCATATGGCACTCTCAACTCTTTCCAGCACATGCCGGGGCCCTGCCTGCCAGTAGCTTTGCCGATATCTGTGTTGATAGGTAATAGATTAAGAGCGGTAAATCAGCTTAGAAACAGGAAGTGCTCAAACGTTTGTGTGAGGTTATCAAATTTAGCAGTGATTCCATGTCAGCCACAGCTTGTCACAAAATGTTTTACTGATAGTGTATTTAACAAACTTAAACTAGCTTTATTAAATGTCAGGTCTTTGGCAGGAAAAACATTTTTAATCAATGATTTTATCACTGAGCACAATCTCGATTTTATGTTTTTAACGGAAACTTGGATTGAACAAAACAACAGTGCAGCTGTTCTTATCGAATCAACACCTCCCAACTTTAGTTTTATGAGTCAGGAAAGAATGCATAAGAAAGGGGGTGGAGTTGCTATTTTGTTCAATGATTCCATTCAATGCAGGAAGACATCTTATGGGGACTTTGCTTCTTTTGAATATGTGGCCCTTCAGCTGAAATGCTCCTCTCGAGCTCTGTTCCTAAATATCTATAGACCACCCAAATACTGTGCAAGCTTTTTTGATGATTTTACTGAACTGCTGTCTATAGTGTGTATTGACTTTGACCGTTTAGTCATTGTTGGTGATTTTAACATCCATGTTGACAACCCCCAGGACAGAGGGGCTAAAGAACTGTTTTGTGTTCTTGATAACTATGGACTGACTCAGCATGTGGCGGAGCCCACGCACAATAAGGGGCACACTCTGGACTTAATTATCTCAAAGGGTCTGAATATCTCAAAGGTTGTGGTGACTGATGTTGCACTCTCTGATCATTCCTGTGTTTTCTTTGAGAGCTCTATTTCTGTTCACAAAAATGTTCAGAAAGAGGTAACCACAAAGCGATATTTAACTGAAAATACTAGGGAAATGTTTACTCATAATTTCTCATCCACACTTGCCCCTGCTAACATCTCAGTAAATGAGCTAGTAGATCATTTTAATTCAAAAATTAAAAATGTTATAGATACCATTGCTCCAACTAAGGTAAAGGAAGTGATTAGCAAGAAAATATCTCCATGGAGAAAGGCCATGACCGTGAGAACAGAAAAAAGAGAGTGTCGAAAAGCTGAACGTAGGTGGCGAAAAACAAATCTCCAGGTTCACTTTGAAATCTATAAAGAGAGACTTGGCCTTTATAATTTGGAATTGAAAAAACGCACGACAGTCTTTCTTCTCTGACATCATTACCAAAAACAAAAACAACGCACGTGCCTTGTTTGCTACCGTCGACAGACTAACTAACCCCCCAGTGTCAGTAGCCTCTGAATTTCTATCCACCAGGGCGTGCAATGATTTTGCCTCCTTCTTCACTGACAAAATTCAGAAAATTAGACAAGCAGTCAGTGCCTCTACATCAGGTACAGCAAATGTTTTGTCCCTATGTCCACCTAATATCAATTCAAACACCATGACACAATTCCATCAGATTAATGGTAAAAACTTAGAGGACATTATTCAACTTCTGAAATCCTCCTCCTGCTGCCTTGATATTATTCCAACAGGATTTTTCAAAGATGTTTTTCCTTGCATGGCCTCAGATCTACTTCATATAGTAAACACATCTCTTCACTCAGGTATTTTTCCAGAGGCCCTGAAAACTGCAGTCATTAACCGCTCTTAAAAAAGAATAATCTAGATGCCTCAGTAATGAACAATTACAGGCCAATATCAAACCTGCCATTTCTAGGTAAAATCATTGAAAAAGTAGTATTTCAACAGTTGAGTAACTTCTTGCATTTAAATAACTGTTTGGATGTGTTCCAGTCAGGATTTCGTCCAAACCACAGCACTGAGACTGCTCTTGTAAAGGTCTTCAATGACATCCACTTAAACACAGACAGTGGCAGAATTTCAGTGTTAGTATTATTAGATCTCAGTGCTGCATTTGACACTGTTGACCACAACATATTACTAGACCGACTAGAAAACTGGGTGGGACTTTCGGCAACAGTTCTAAATTGGTTTGAGTCCTACTTAAAGGACAGAAAAAACTTTATTTCTATAGGTAAATACACATCTGAGTTGACAAATATGACATGTGGGGTACCTCAAGGCTCCATCTTGGGGCCTCTTCTCTTTAACATCTACATGCTACCACTGGCTCAGATAATGAAAAACAACAAAATAAGTTACCATAGCTATGCGGATGACACACAAATTTACGTAACAATTTCACCAGGAGATTATGCTCCAATTCAAACACCGAGTAAGTGCATTGAACAAATCAATGACTGGATGTGTCAGAACTTTCTCCAATTAAACAAAGATAAAACTGAGGTAATGGTTTTTGGAGCCAAGGCAGAACGTATAAAAGTTAGCGCTGAGCTTCAGTCTGCAATGTTCAAAACAACAGATAAAGCCAGAAATCTAGGTGTAGTCATGGACTCTGACCTGAGTTTCAACAGTCACATTAAAACAGTTACTAAATCAGCCTACTATCACCTAAAGAACATATCTAGGATTAAAGGACTAATGTCACAGCAGGATTTGGAAAAACTTGTCCATGCTTTTATCTTCAGTAGACTCGACTACTGCAATGGTGTCTTTACAGGCCTCACTAAAAAATCTATTAGAAAGCTGCAGCTAATTCAGAACGCCGCTGCTCGAGTCCTCACTAACACTAAGAAAGTGGATCACATCACTCCTGTTCTGAAGTCTTTACACTGGCTTCCTGTGTGTCAAAGAATAGATTTCAAAATATTGTTGCTGGTTTATAAAGCTTTGAATGGTTTAGGCCCAAAATACATGTCTGACCTACTGCTAAATTATGAACCATCCAGAACCCTCAGGTCTTCAGGGACTGGTCAGCTTTCTGTCCCCAGAGTCAGAACTAAACATGGTAAAGCAGCATTCAGTTATTATGCTCCGAATATCTGGAACAAACTCCCAGAAACCTGCAGGTCCGCTGCAACTCTTACTACTTTTAAATCCAGGCTGAAGACTTTTCTTTTTGCTGCTGCTTTTAATTGAACTATTCACATCTTAAACTGCACTGTAACTTTTAACTTTTATCCATGTATTTTTTCTTTTAATGTTTATTTTATTATCTTTCCTTTTTAATGACTGATTTTAAATGCCATTTTTAAAATGTCTTCCATTTTTGTAAAGCACTTTGAATTACCTTGTGTTGAAAGGTGCTATATAAATAAACTTGCCTTGCCTTGCCTTGCCTTACAGTACGCTCATTTCAAACTCTGGTACCTGGTAGAGACCTATGGTGGTGTAGATGTGTTCTCTCACTGGCTTGTCCCTCATGCTGTTGTTGGACAAATTAGTGTGAGAGCTGTTGCTCTCTCTCGGACTGGCCGTGGTGCTCAGAGATATACCATGAAATCCCTAGAGGACACACACAGAAGAAGCCTGTGAACAAAAGCAAAATGTAGACATACACAGATGTATGCTCATTCTCTATCTGTTTCAGTGCTCATACAGCGCATCATACCTTGATGATGGTGATGTCGCTGTAGTTGATCAGCCACCAGCGGGAGCCATCCAGCCTCGTCTGGAGACGAAACTTCTGCAGAACTAGGATTCCGATGCACAAAACGGCCAGAATACCAATGAGGGGGAAGCCCACGAGCAGAGCCAGCAGGGCGATGTCTGCACCCCATCAACAAGGGACATTATGATGCTGGTTAGTATGGTTTGTTTCACGAGTGGTCTTTAGCAAACATAACATTTAGATGATTGCTGAATTTACTAGATGCATATTCTACTACTCTTACCATTAATGAGCCATTCACAGAGCTCATTGTTGAACCCGCATTCTGGTTTGTCAGAGGGAGGTCCTGCTCTTGGCCAGACCACAGAAGCAAACATAGACGTTGGCCTGAAATGAAACATTTTTTGGTGTGATATCCCCTAATTGTAATCATAAAACAAATGTGAAATGATTTGATGTATTTAGTTTTATACATATTTTACCGGACATCTTTGGTCTGACTGTCGAAATTGAGGATGGATACAAACTTGGTTTGGTCTCCCACAAGCTGCAGGTCATAAATGGAATAGTCCAAATTTCTCTCCCCCTCTTCGTCAAAATGGACTAGTCCAGAGGCCCCTGTAAAAATAATCCGTGGTGAATAAAAAGAAACATATATACTTTACTTAACATTTCTATTTTTTGCTACTTTAAACATCAATACATTTCAGAGGCAAGTATTCTTTTTACTCTACAAAACATAATTTAGTTTTTATTTGAAAATAGACATTGTACATTCAGAAAAATGTAAATGTACCCGAGTTTAATAAAATAAATACGTAAATAATTTATATTATATATATTTACATTTTCGAGCTGTAGTTACCTGTAGTTTCACAGATTTTATAAATCATAAATAAACTGATAAATTACATATATACAGATTTGGCCACCTAGCAAAAAAACAATCATCTCTAGTTTCCATATCCATACTCCTCCCAAAATAATACAATAATAAGAGCAAGTACTAACCATTAAATCGAATGTTGTTTTTATTTTTTAATCTCCGCAGGAGCTCCTTTCTGTCTCGAGGGTCTTTTCCATCTTTGAGGACTTCCTTCAGCCCCATGGCGTAAAGAAGCACTGCGTCGTGCAGGTAGGCAGCGTACGGGCTAACCTGAAATAACAGAACATTAAACAATTGTATATGTGATTTTACTTTTATCAGAAGAATTGGAAAATGAGTTGTTACAGCTCAGGAAAACATGGATACATACCTCTCTTTCAGAAGACAGGTGGCTCTGAAACGGGTGTTCCTTAAGTCTTTGAAAAACTCGCTCAAAGAAGTCAAAATACTCGTAGCCATCGTAGGATTTCTGGCCAATAATGAAGGTCATGTCAAAAGCTCTGATGGCAGCTTGGTCCATCCTGTTGTTCACGGCATATTTCCACAAGTTATCCTGCTCAGGAAAGAGATTGATACAGTTCACATGGAAGAAAAAGATAAGTTATTGTTGACAGCAGTTCATAATTGTTCTTTCCATTTCCAAAGCTTGTAGTCCAATTAATGGTGTGGGAGACTTTTACCTCAGCTGATTATGTGCGTAACTTTAGATTTCTACTCACCACACTGCCACTGACTTCAAAATGCTGCACCAGGAAGAACACATAGTCACCATTCATCAGACCCTGTCGCTCAGCCTCCAGCAACAGAGCCATGGAGTCCTCTGAGTTTGTTAGCACCACAATCACTGCATGGCAAAGGACACATTTACTAGTCAGAAATATGGTTATGCGTGGTTTGAATGAGCCTCGAACTATTCCCTTCTTACCTCTGGCCACTGTTGAGATTAATTTAACATTTCGGTAAATCAGCTTCTGATTGCTGGTGTCAAACTTGAGCGCAGCAGCTAGTTGGAATTTGGCTCTCAGGGGCTCCTCGATGGTTTTCCACAGAGCATCAACTTTGTCCCAAGTGTTCGATTCTAAGCCCCCTCCGATCATCGCCACGTGGCTCCATCCAAAGAACTCCAGGGTCTTTATCAGGACCTCCGAGCTTCTTTTAAGAGGCGGCACGACTTTGATGTAGGAATCGTAGATGTCACTGTTGTCCATTTTAGCGGATAGACCCACAAATCCAAACATGGGGATGTTCCATGTCGATGCAATGAGACCGGTGACCTGGGAATAATGTTTTAAAAAGCTTTAGGAATCCACAAAAGATCTTTAAAAGTATTTTTCCATGAAAGGTACACAATCTACCTTGTTTCTCCTTGATCTCACAAGGCAGGTTTAATGAAAATATACCGTACAATTCTACCACATTAAACGCGGTTTAGTTTTTACCTACAGCTATTTAATGTACCGTACTTTGTGCTGAGTTGTTAAACAAAAATATCAATATGAGATTTGTATGTTGATGTAGGGATTTTTGGAGGGCTTCCTGGTGAAATAATTGTAGAAGACACCATGCTGCTGCAGAGTATAAATCATGCAGAAATGGGAAGAAAACTAAGGACATACTTACCAGATTCAGCACATCATATCAGTATTTGTTTCTCTTTTCTCCCATCTTTTGCATGATTTACAATCTACAGCAGCATGGTTTGAAAACATATGCCTTCCACTGAATGTGCTTCGGTTTGAGCCAGGTGTAACACATCTGTGAACCTTCACCATGAAGAGACTATGAAGAGAAGCGGATCAGATTCCAGTTTTACCCAGTGGTTGAAGAAGTATTTAGATATTTTACTTACGGATAATTAGAAATATCACCATGTAAACATACACAACTTGCAGTGTTTAAAACCAGCCTCAAGCTTTGGCTAAAATTAGCACCAAAGGGTCACCACTAATATTTATCTTGTATTTATTATATTTCTCATACTGATTCTATTTATTATCACATTGATAGACATTGCTGAATGTCTTCCCAGGAACAACTTATGCACATCAGCTTCTTTCTAACTCTGGGGCAATTACTTTTAAATATACGCTGTCTCTTTAATAAAGAAAAAGCAATAATGTTTAATAATGAACAATAAAACCAAATAAGAAATCGAATTCCTGCATTCACCATTAGGCTACTTACTGTAGCTAAAAGTATTAGGAATAAAAACTATTTAAAGTTATATAACATGTTTTTATCTTTATAAATGTAATTACCTTTTGGACTTTCCACAAAAGAATGTACATAAAAACATCTAATGCAAGAATAATCAATTTCCGCATCACATGGATCATACCTCAGCTTCTTCGGGACACGCTGGACCAAACAGCGCGGACACATTCTCTCTCCACACCTGCTGAATGAATCCTCCCAGGGAAACTTTAGGACTACAGTCTGTATCCTTGAAGACAAAATCCAGACTGTAGTTCCCCAGGAAGGAGGGGTTGGTGTTCACCTTCTCCACGGCGATCTGCAGGGCGGAGCCCAGCCGCAGGGCGCTGAAGGGGAACGAGATGTTCCAGGGAGCCTGGAAGCCGATGATCAGCCTGTTAGACCCGTTGGTGTCGTTATCGTTGACAGTGGCGGCTGTCAGTGTGAAGTGCAGCACCAATATGAGCCTCATGTCAGGAGAATACACCACCCTCATCATCACTTCCATCCTATTAGGTGATCCATGTTACAGGGTTTAAATAGACAACATCCAACTTTGTGATAGGGAGGAGAACATGTAAATATGTGGAGGAGGGTGGGAGGTCCATTATTTTCTTTGTTTTTTTCTTTAATAGAGTATCGTCTTGGATCACGGTCAAAGAGGGCCCCATGCTTGAATTTGATGTCTTAATTAAAGTAGATTCGTTTTATCTCATTAATTGTATAGAAATATTATTATTTTATTTTTACATTATTATTATTTGGTCAAAAATAGCATGTGACTCTTATTTGATTCCAAAACGACAGGTTTGTATAATAAGTGTATTTGTGTAAGAACTACTTTTAATCAAGTGCTGTATTTAAGTATTCTACTACTTTGAGGTACTTATTATTATTTTCATTTTCTGCTACTTTCTACTTCTACTCCACTACATCTCAAAGACAAATATTATACTTTTTACTCCACTACATTTCTCAAAATCTTATATTAAATCATACACCTAGATTAATAACAGAGAGTAAAACCAGAAGCCACTTTATCTAACTACCAAACAGTATATAAACAGATGAAAATAAGGTCCACCTTAAGCAACTACAACATAAAAGTGATATACAGTACATTCATACATTAACCTTTACTTATGGTACTTTAAGTATATGTTGATGCTTTCACTTAGTAGTTTTACTTAAGTGAAGTTTTGAATGCAGCATGGGAATTCTTTTATAGATAAATGTAGAAACTTTAAAACTAAACCCAATTAGTTTGAGTTGTTTTCATGACTCGTGTTTTAAGGTGATTTGAGATATTCCTGTTTTTATGATTGCTTAGTATCTTATCTGTTGTTTTGTTAATTACATGTAATACCCTTATATAAAAAGAAATTGATATGAAATGCAGAAGTTACCTACTATTTTACAATTGTTCTACACTGTAGTACTGCTACCTTACCTTAAGTAAAATATCTAATAGTTCTTCCACTGCTAAAGAAATCACCTGTTAAATGTATTAACCATAAATCAGTGAATTCCATAGCTACTACAACCAGTCTGCCTTAAGTTATCCCTCATAAATCCAGTGTCAAAGTTCCCCGTATCCTCTTTCTAACTCTCACAGGGACACATGCATGCTAACACACACACACACACACACACACACACACACACACACACACACACACACACACACACACACACACACACATACACACACACACACACGCACACGCACACACACACACACAGATACATGAGGAGGGTGGACAATCAGAATGTAGGCTAATTTAATTACGACAAATAAAAACACGTGAAATGTGTGCTGATGACCCCCTGGGATTTTTCTCTGCAGAAACCTGATGAGGCAGGTTGAGCCCTGCTCGCTGGCACAGAGAAGTTCACACACACCCGAGTGCACTTTCAGGTGCTAATGACCAGAGGTGGGCAGCTTGTTGGTGTTTCTGGCTTCAGCTGCTTTTCTTCCCCAGGAGATCTCAGCACCTCTGCTAATCCCACCAGGTAACCTCAGAGCTTCTCCTAATGAACTCACTTAACTCACATATCCTGCACAATCAAATCCTTCAGGAGACACCTTTAAAATGCATACATGACATTCAGGTGACATCTGTTTATATGATTGGACAACCAAAGAATTTCTTTGTAAAAGATTACATTAATTAAAATATAGATTCACAGGCAGAACAAGGAAGAAATGTGCAAACAAACATACCATACTCATTTTTATTGGATATTGCTGCAGCGTTTTCCGTCTTTATTTTCTCCTCCCCTTTTTATGATTTTAGCATACATTATTTGTGACGTGTCCACGATGACTGCTGTCCCGAAAAAGTTGCATGGTCTTACTTTTTTAATCAGTCTGATCAAAGGTGCAATTCCAGCTTATCTTTCCTTTTACACCGACACAACCTGCTGTATGTGCTGATAACACATTTCTGACCTGGAAAAAAACCTTTATCATAGGAAAATATGTTTAGAAAGTCTACTAGACAGTTATTTTCATTCAAATCAAATTCATTTCAGTGTTCAAGAAAGTAGGGCTGCTCGATTATGGCAAAAATCATAATCTCGATTATTTGGGTCAATAATTGATATCACGATTATTAAAAACGATTATCCATTTACTTTGAAAACACCAATCTATTGGAGAATCTTTTTTTGAACAGTATGTTTCAGTTGATTACCCTGAACTTTAAGTATAATTCAACTGAAAAACCAATACAAAAAAATAAAAATAATAATAATAAAAAGATAATCGTTTTATTTAGATTACGTTGTTTTCGTAATCGTTGCAAGCCATAATCGTAATTGCGATTAAAATACGATTAATTGAGGCCTAGGCTCCACGGGAACGAAAACGGGTTGAATCCGCATATTTCTCATGCGTATAGCCCTTTAAGCTCGACGACGCCGTAACGGAAACGTAGAAACAGACCCTGCAAACGACAACGGGTCCAAAGGTGGATAGATCTGGGAATGGAGCGCTCTGGGGGGTCCAACGGGGCCGTGTGGTAGCCTATACGGTCATCCGTTTGTGATAATGACGACTCAATAGCCCCGCCTCTCCCCACCTCTGCTGCTCACCCCCGCAAAAGTACACTGCACACTGAATTCAGATTATTTATCTTTATCTCGATATGAACATAAACGCGAGTGAAGTCTAATCTGACAGGACGGAGACACGCAGCTCCTCCCGCTGTGATGCAGCGGGAGGAAAACACACACTTCAAGTCAGATCATCACCCTTAGCTATTTTAATTACCTCTCAAACTACCTAAACTAGTTATAAATATGTTTATTTTTACTGTCGGGTTTACTTACTGGATCAGCTGCTGCATGAGACAGACACTGACGCTGTCAGAAGAGAGGAAAAAGAGACAGCCTCCGTGTATTTTATTATTATATATCATTATATCGTCGTTATTCATTTGTTTTAAAGCTCAATAAATAACAAAGAAGACCTTTGACCGGCACTTTTATAATTTTGTCCGGAAGATTTAAACTTTAGCACACGTTGACCGGCGAAAAACTCTGCGCGGTTCCCTCCGCCCCCACCGCGGAGAATAAACAGAAGTGCAGCCATGACAACCATTCTTCTTCGCTGCTTTTGTGGAGGAAGTTGCTGCTTTTGTGGAGGAAGTTACAGCGCCACGTACAGGCTCGGCATATGTACTGCAGCTTTTCCAGCGGTTGGATGTAAACGGAGCCGTCTCATGGAGCTTGACACAATCCGGTGTATATTGCGTGTGGGCGGAAGCTTTTTTGCGGTTGCGTTTGCGTTACTCCGATGCGTTTTGCCGTATGCATTCCCGTGGAGCCGGGGCCTGAGCAGCCCTACAAGAAAGTACAATTTAATCAAATATTTCACACTGAGAGACTTGGCTGGTCTTAATTCTAGAAGAGTCTGATGTCACTTCACAAAAATTATACAATTTTATTCGTGAACATTTTAATGAAAACATTTGAGGAAATGCAAGTTGTAGGGGTGTTGAAATATGTTATAAATGTAATTGAGGGGCACTATTATGCTTTTTTTTGTGTGTTGTATAGGTTTTTGGTGCAAGCCAAAACGCCTCCATTTGACTCCTTTGTTTTTTTCTGTATCATTATGACATCACTACGTAACACCTGTGCTTCTATTGTCTAGCGCTCCAGCACATTGTACGAGATAGGCTAAGGGGCGGAACATCTCTAAGCGGTTGACCACTCACAACATCTAACCAATCAGAGAAGACTGGGCTCTGGTTTCAAAAGAGGTGCTGCAGCAAAGGCAGTATAAGAAAAATAAAGAGCTTTTTGAACATTAAAGCATGGAGACATGTCACAGCTAGAGGCACAACATACAATTATGAACCTGAAAGTTATGCATAACAGGGCCCCTTACATACTAGCTATTTTTCAAAGAGAACTGTAAGGTTTGTTTTGTTGTTGAGGTGTGAGGACTTTGAATACGTTAAACGCTAGATAAGATTATTGACCTTTCATCAGCTGCAGCATCTCACTTCGTCAGACATCGCCTCAGATATGAGCGTTATCTGGACTGAAATTAAAGCAATAACTGGTTGATAGAGCTGACGGTTTTGAAATACACGTATAATAAATTGCAACATACACACTTTAATATCATGCATGTACAACTTGGAGCAGTTTAATGTCAGGTTTTGTTATCAGTGGAAGTGAAGGTGGAAGGTTCAAAGGTTCCTCTGACCTTGTCTTTATGAGTTCTTGTACTCCTCAGAGCAGAGGAGGAAGATCTGCTGTGCTCACACAAACCACACACACACCTGCGTGTGAGCTAAGAGCGGAGTGGAACACCTGAGAGGACCGGCAGCAGGTAGGAAAGCTGTGGCATTACGCATTCATCAATAATAATGAAGATGGGAATTATAATTTTGTTTGTTGTTTGCAATTTGCATATCAGTCTACCTCAGTCATACATATCAAATGTATACTGATAAACAAACTGATGAATACTGATATATTTGAATATAGTTGACCCTTCTTTCTCTCTCATTAGTATTGGACTTTACGCGCATGCACACCGTCGCTCTGCATTCTTAAACAAATACATGTCTTTGCTTGATTTATGTTGCTTGATTTGAGATTCCTTCTATATAATATCCTTTAGTTATATTTTCATTTTACTTGCATAACCTGCTTCTTTTCTTTCATGGTGCAAGCAAACAGGTGCTCTTTCTTTCTTCACTTAAAATATAAAGTGCTGCTAGTCTTCCTGGGGTCCACACTGAAAAATAACAATACTATCAACAATAAACAAAATGTATTTAAATCACATTGTGTTATTAAATCAAGAGCAAATGGAAGTATCGGAAAAATAATGGATTAATCATTTTCTGATACCATAAAACGAGTTGTTCCCAATCAGACTCTTGTCTCATAAAGTGATTACCCTTGACCTCAGTGTAGTTCACAATGTGACACACAACCCAATCTGTGTCAAAGGTCAAGAACATTTTATTTAATGCTTTTTAAGGAGAATAACTATTTATTTGTTCCACCATGTGTTTAACGTCATTCCGCACTAGTTTAACAGTGTTCGGAAATACTCACTATTTTGCAGCTGTATCACTGTACATATAGACTTCTCTGACTTTCACGTCTATCTGCAGAGATTATCATAAGTGTTGCACAAGTCGTGTTGACTTTGACCTCTAGTTATTACAGTATGGAGACAAAACCAGGTGTTAAGGAGCTGAGGATAGCAAAACAGACTGTACGTCTTAAACAGTTATACAATCAACTCTATGTGTCAAAGTGCTAATATCTCCAATTCACATTTCTCTGCATCCCAGCAGACCTTGCACCATGGACTTCCTGCTCCAGCTTCTGTTCTCGCCCCTCCCGACCTCGGCCATCGTCTCGCTGTTCGCCCTGGCAGCTGGCGTCGTGTTCTACCTGCACACCCGGCCCAGCCCCCTGCCCAGCCCCATAGACCTCCACCACCAGTCTGAGGGCATCAAGGTAGAGAGCTGTCCATTCAGAGTGTTGGTAGTAGAAGTGCAACACACAATGTCGAAGAGATCAATAGTTCATCTTCATATATAGTTCCTGAGACCTTAGCACTGATTGGTAGAAAGTTCACTTCAGGTACTTTGTATTTTTTTTTATCTCCACCACTGATTATTCTCATGATAATGTTTTGTTTTTATTATTTCCATCTATGCATTCTATAGAATATTCAATACATATATTTGTAATGTTATTTTGTGCTTTTTGGCATTTTATCTCTGTTTTCATGTTCATTCTTTTTTCTTTTCCTTGTTGTCCTTCAGCTTTTGTTTTAACAGGTTCCTAAAGATATTCTAATCCTTATTATTTTGCTTGGTGTCCTCAGGATGGAGCGAGGAAGAGTATGTTGCTTGAAGATAACAACAACCTAATTTCGTATTACCATGAAGACGCCAAGACACTCTATGAGGTCTTTCAGAGGGGCCTTAAGGTTTCAGGTACATAATACAACCCTTAAAAAAACGAAACAGTTTTGCCACATTTTTAGGAACACCATTTTTTTACAAGGCTATAAATGGCATATTAACAAACCCCTCTGTAAACACTTTCAGAATAAAGATGGGAATCTAGTTAATTACTTAAGACTATTATTTTGTGTATTACAAGTTTTCTGAACATATGTTTCAATATGCTGATGAGGTGTTGTGAATTGGTAACTGATGGGAGAAATATAGACAAAAAGAGGCAAAGTTAGTAAAATGTACACCTTTATTTAGCTACTTTTAAAGAGGAAGCAATTTTACCTGTCGTGTCTGGTCTTTAAAGTCATCTCATTCCCAGGTAACGGACCATGCTTGGGCTACAGAAAAACTGGGAAGCCGTACCAGTGGCTGAAGTACAAACAGGTAAAAAACAGCAACATTTGAGAAACAACAAAGTAAATATGAACTGCTGTAAACCCTTGCTGACCTTTACTCCACTTCCTGTTCCTGAAGGTGTCTGATAGAGCGGAGCACCTGGGGTCAGGGCTTCTTCATAAAGGACTGAAGCCCAACTCTGACACTTTTATCGGCATCTTTGCACAGAATAGACCTGAGGTGAGTGTGGGCGGTGCTAACGGGAATACAGGTGTTTTCCTTTGTTAGTTACAACACTGTAAATGCTGTCTCTGTGTTATATGGGTCCCTTGCAGTGGATTATTGGCGAACAGGCCTGCTACACCTACTCCATGGTAGCAGTTCCCCTGTACGACACCCTGGGTCCTGAAGCTCTCGTGTTCATTATCGACCGAGGTAATTGGAGCTTCTCTTGCACTCTTAATGCGGCTAATAACAGAGTCCAGTAGCTCACCCCCCCCTCTAGGGATCTGTAATCTCTTCACACTTATTAACCTCGACCGCACTATCAATCTAGGCTTTTGATATCACTTCTGGAAGCTTTATCACAAGACAAAGAGCAGGGAAAATGCAGTAGCTCTGCTTATAAACATTGTTTTTTAATCCTAATGTAAGTGTTTCCTCCCTAACCGCACTTTTATCCGCTTTCGCCTCTTCTATACTGTCAATTTAAATGGTACTACGGTAAAAGTTTGTTTCTTTTTTCAGCGGAGATCTCCACAGTGCTGTGCGACAATGAGAAGAAAGCAGAAACACTGCTGCAGAGCCGAGAGGAAGGCCAGACTCCAGTCCTCAAAACCATCGTCATCATGGACCCCTTCCCCTCTGAGCTGGTCGAGCGGGGAACCAAGTGTGGGGTGGACATCGTGTCCATGCAGGATGTGGAGGTAATTTATTTATTTAATTGTTTATTTGGCAGGGACAGTGCACAGTAATGAACACTTAAAACATTCACATGTGTCAAGCGTAACAGTGCCAGATTTAGCTTTGAGCTCATTTCCATCCACACTTTAACAGGAGTCATTGCTCGTGTTTATACTGGCTTCAATTGAGATTGTGTTTCCCTTCTGAACAAGCATTAAGTTGTAGGATCAACATTATTGAAAGCCTGTTTTCTTCTGTTCTCCAGGCTTTGGGGAAGAGTAATCACCAAGAGCCAATTGTAAGTAATTCTGATATATTCATGTAATCCATTTTTATGAGATTTGACAAGCTGCATGCTGTTCTAATGTGGTCATTTCATGTTCCAACAGCCACCAAAGCCAGAGGATCTCAGTATTGTTTGCTTCACCAGCGGCACTACAGGTGAGACATTTCGTATTTATCAGCTGAGTGAGGCTTTTTTAAATCCTAAAGAATAGGAATTCGTCATTAAAAACAGTCCTGTGTCTCCATGATCGTTAAATCTTACATGTGACGGAGCATTTTAATCATGAAAAGCAAGCTAGGCTATTATCTGTGGTTACTTGTAGCCACTTGGTGGCCACGTCGATGGTCCATCCTCTTATTTTTATTTATTGTTTTTTACATCGCTACGTGCATTGTGTGTTCTGTCTTTCAACTAAGTTATTATAAAACCTACTTGTTTGTTACCTGAAATGTAATGTCATGAAAGGTGAAATATTTTACTTCTCTTTATCAGGAAACCCCAAGGGAGCGATGTTGACCCATGAGAACGTGGTCTCTGATGTTGCGGGTGTCATCAAGAGCATAGAAGTATGTTTTAATAACCATTAGATGCCATATTTGAATGAAGTATTGTATAATTCTGTGTTGCTAACAGCCTCTGTGTCCCGCAGGTTGCAGGTGGTCCAACCACTGAGGATGTCAGCATTTCCTTCCTGCCTTTAGCACACATGTTCGAGAGAGTGGTACAGGTGAGATCTGACCATGACATTTTTTAAGTCATTGTATTACTAATAGATTTTTTGAGGATGACTGAATTGTTCCTGTTTTGTGTAGGTGGTGATGTATGGTGCTGGGGGTAAGGTGGGGTTCTTCCAGGGAGACATCAGACTGCTGCCAGACGACATGAAGGTGCTGCAGCCCACCATCTTCCCCGCCGTGCCTCGACTCCTCAACCGCGTCTACGACAAAGTCAGTGATCAACAGCGCTTGAAATGAAATATACATTTATAACTGTACCCTAAAGATTCATTTGATGTGCTTTCACATTTTTTCTTTTAAAGCTATTTCCTGGTTTGAGCTTCACAAATTCAAAGATGTTGTGCCTTTAACTTTTTTTATTATTTTTATACATCTTTAATGTTTTGAATCACAGACTATTCTCCTGACAAAACAAACATTGTTAAAATATCAATTTGGGTTCTGAGGACCTGTATTGTGCATTTTCTCACAATTGTTAAACCATTGCAATCAATTGATTCATGTTGGAAAGAATCAGAAGATTTGTCCAAGATAAAAATAATCATTAGTTCAAAGTTAGAAATGAGTTCCACCACAACAAACTATAACAGGAATATCCTGCTTTTACATTCATGTTATAAGTTTAGTATTTAAATGATGCAATATGTACTATATGTCATAGGGGTCATTTTGCTTTTAAGAACATTTTCCTGATTTGTATGACATGCTTGCATAGTAACAATTTCTAACACAGGTTTTTTAAAAGGTATTTCAACTTTTACTGAACAAAAGGATCTCAATACTTCCTCCAGCAATTGTTTTAGACACATGGGCTACCCCTTGCTTCTCAATCTGCTTTTAACATCAACCCACAATTCTTATATTAAATGCTGTAATCAAACATCCACAGGTTCAGAATAGCGCCCAAACCTCCTTCAAGAAGTGGCTGCTGAACTTCGCTGTGGAGAGCAAGTTTGCTGAAGTGAAGCAGGGCATCGTCAGGAAGAACAGCATCTGGGACAAACTAATCTTCCACAAAGTCCAGGTACAGCACCGCTCACACAGAGATACGTATAGAGAACAGGAAGTCGGTGAATGTTGAGCACGCTCTATCCTCACTGCAGGAGTCTCTGGGGGGGCGAGTTCGGGTCATGGTGACGGCGGCAGCACCCATCTCTCCATCTGTGCTCAACTTCCTCAGGGCGTCTCTGGGCTGCCAGGTAAGAAGCATTGTTACTGTACATTTAAATGCAAATGTGTTATTTTAAGCGGGTCCTATTTACTTGATTTTGAATCACATCTGTTGGACTGATTTTCTATATTGTAATACTTATAATACTTTATTATGTATTCTATCTTTTACTGTTTACGTATTTTTATACACACTATATTGTAGTCATATTTTTTCTATATTATTTTGAACACTTCCCATATTATAATTTAGTCTGGTGTAATTTTGTCTTCATTTCTCTGGTATACTGGTTCTCTTTGAACTTTCACTCCTATTTTGGTTTCGTATACCCCCCTTATTATTTATTCTTCTCTTCTCTATATATCTTTACTTATTTATTTCTTGCAACACTTTGTTTTCCACTGTGCAAATCAAGATTTCAGGAAAGCTTTTTAAAAGATGTCAGAACTTTTCCTCCCTCAACACCTCTTTAGATTGACCTCCTTACATTTTTGTATTCAATCCCCTAAATGCAACCTTTCTGTGATCAGAATTGGCCACTTTGTTTTGCCAATTCGACCCAGTTTTAAGAGCAGTCGCATACTTGAGGTAGTTTGAACCACAACGGCGTTCATCTCATCGCTCCATGCTGTCATAATAATCTTTGATCTCTCTCTGATTGGGCTTCTCCTCTCAGATCTTCGAGGCGTACGGACAGACGGAGTGCACCGCCGCCTGCACCTTCACCATGCCGGGAGACGCCACCTCAGGTACGCAGTCTAACCTGCCACACATGTCCTACTCTGATATAAAGCTAAACCTGCCATATAAACTTCTACTCAAACAAGTAACTCAAATGTGTACTCCAGTATTTCCATTTGACTTTTACTTTATACTTTAACCCAAGGGAAATATATTGTATTCCTCTGCATTGCATTCATTAATATATGGATTGATAATGGAAACAAGCAAATGACCAATAATGATTATACTAATGTACTTGTCCTTGAATACTATTTTAAAATAAAGGATTTGAACTTTTACAGTGTATTTTTTGCAGAGTGGCACTTAACTAAAGGGTCTTATTTCTTCATATTCAGCTTTCTATAAATCACATGTTCATATCACTTTAAATATTATAAGAGATTTGGTTATTTTATAGGCAAGAAATCCTGTAACACAATCTTTTTACCAACAGGGCATGTTGGGGGGCCGCTGCCTTGTAATGTGGTGAAGTTGGTGGATGTCGAAGAAATGAACTACTTTGCTTCAAATGGAGAAGGAGAGGTAAGATAATGGAATTAGGGAAGATCTATATTGCTTGAACCCTGTTAATTTAGTTTTTAGCCTATATTTGTTTATTCTTTGGCAACATCCAACAGAGAAAAGTATGCCGAATTATCTTTTAGCAGTTTTTCGATGATTCACTTAGAACCTGATTAGTCTCAGGCACATATTGAATATATATGTTTCTATTTTAATCACCATTTTGTATTGCTGCCTTTTTGTGAAGACAAAACCATTTATCACACATTAAACTTTGTATTTCTATTTTTCAATAGTCTTAAAAAAACTGAAAGACTTTAATATTTCAGTTTAGTTAGCAACAATTGTTTTTACTGCACTTTTAAAAGCTATATGACCATGCACAATTAGATTATTAAATAACAATGTATTTATTGTTCTTCTTTCAGGTGTGTATCAAGGGTAAAAATGTGTTCAAGGGGTACTTGAAGGACCCAAAGATGACTGCAGAGGCCCTGGATAAGGACGGTTGGCTCCACACCGGAGACATCGGGAAATGGCTTCCGGTAAGAACCAAAATCCAGATAACGGGAAGATTCCAGTAAATGTTGTTTCTCCACAATGTAAATGAGTTTGGTTCACATTTACCGCCGACTGAATCAGTACAACCACAGACTTCCATGAACCAGATGCAGTGTGTTTGAGGATGAAGCCCTGATGTCTTATCGGCTGATTGTATTCAGTGTGTGACCAAGGGGATTTAAGATGGAATTAAAGAGCTCCATAAATGAAAAAAGGTTTAAGCAACTTGTTGATTTCTCCTATTTGACTGTACAATAGACTGGAGTTTTGAAAATAATCGACCGGAAGAAGAATATCTTCAAGCTGTCTCAGGGGGAGTACATTGCACCGGAGAAGATTGAGAACGTCTACGGACGCAGCGGAACTGTGGCCCAAGTGTTTGTGCACGGAGACAGTCTACAGGTAAGAGCAGCATCTTTACAGTCAGCACACACACCCTGACTGATAACTAAACTAGTTTTCTGTGTGTGCAGTCCTGCCTGATCGCCATCGTGGTCCCTGATCCCGACACCCTGCCAGGTTTGGCAAAGAGTCTTGGGTGCAAAGGCTCCATTGAAGAACTCTGCAAAAACACGGTAATGTTTCTCGGTGTAGGAGGCCTTTGTCTCATGTTGTAGAACTCTAACTAACTTTAGAAAAACAATATGGTACACTATAATGCAGTTCAGTGTGCAGCAGTGGTGCAATAATTAAATAATGATTAGTGTAGAAATATAAAATGTAACTAAAGTTAAAGTATTAGCATGTAAATATAGTAAATGTACTAAAGTAAGTACTCGTTTTGCTAAATGTCACCAATGAATAATCATGTTAAATTTGATTATTGATACAGTAAGGTGTAAATCAGTTGAATGTTGATAATAATAATAATATATATACTTTGAATGAACTTAACTGCAGGATCAATACAGTTGTATCTAAATCATGTATAATAAAACATATATTTTAGTTCTACTTTGTTTAAAAGTCTGAATGGGTCAAGTATATACCATTTGTATGTAGTGAAACATAGTAGTTAAATAATACAGTACTATATTTGCCACTGGAATTATGTTAAGGATAAGCATACAATTAGATACTCAAGTAAAGTACAAGTACCTAAAAGTTGTACTTGAACAAATGTACTCAGTTTCTTTCCACTCCTTTCGGTATGTTTTACTTTTCTACCAAAACTCCAGCAGAGAAGTAAACATGATCATTATCACTAGTCTTGTTCCTTGATCTAAAACTAATAAAATACAATGCCTGCAACCAAATTGGGTATTAAACTAGAACAGTGTGTTCTGTTTCTGTTTTTTTATTTATTTATTTATTTATTTTCTAACTTCTAACCGTGATGATGTTTTTTCTTTGTTTACAGGAAATTAAGAAAGCCATTCTGTCAGACATGACTAAGCTGGGCAAAGAGGCAGGACTCAAGTCCTTTGAGCAGGTAATCACTGCTTTTCTTACCATTTAAAGTTTTTTTTGGATGAGCTAGGTTTACACATTTTAACTTTGGGTTTAACTGGTGCTGTACATTTCTGTAAACCTAGCTCAGTTCACCCTCTAGTGGTTAAGAAGAGCAGTGTTTGTTCAGTTTTGTTCAAGACCATGCAGACGTCAGAGACTTGACTCATTTCCTCCTCACTGACGAGAAATCCCCCAAATCTGTCTCTTATTACCAGATCAACAACTTCTAAACAAAGTCAAGCTTTTTTTCAGTTTGCATGTTTGACAGAATCTTGTTTCCAAACTGTTAACCATCTGCACTCTCTTCCTCCCCTCCTCTTCCTCCCTGTTGTAGGTAAAAGAGGTGTACCTCCACTCAGAGCAGTTCACCATTGAGAACGGTCTGTTAACGCCAACCCTGAAGGCCAAGAGGGCCGAGCTCAAAAACCTCTTCCAGCCACAGATCGACAAACTGTACGCTAACCTCTAATAAACGATTACACCACCATCTTTTTTCCTGTCTTTGAATCAAACAATTCCTCTAGTGCAGAAGCCTTTCTAAACATCCACAACACTGAAGTTCTGAGAAGTGTTTTGGCTGCAGAGCCCTCATTCATTTAAGACAATAAGATTATGTTATTCATCTTGTGCAGAACATGTTTTGCAGTGCATCCTGGGGGTTAGCTGGACAGACTTTTTGGCTACAATGCCTGAGTGAATCATCCTCTCACAGTCCCAGTTGTTCGATGCAAGAAAGCATAGAACGTAATGTCACATTTTTGGTCTTATTAATGTGTATTTTATTTCAAATTTTAATTAGAGGATAAACCCCTTTGAGATGCTGATCTCATTTTTAAAAGGGTCCTCATGCACAGAGCATAAATTCAAAGATTTAATCGGTGATCAAAAACTGGAAGTGGTGCTGTGGGAGTGATGCTGCAGTTTGGTGGCAGTAAATGTGCTTTAAAGTGGACCTATCATGCTATATTTAAATGATATATTGTAGGGCCATACCTATATAAGGTATATTTATACGTTTCTGTTTTCAAAATACCAAACAGATCATGCATTTTAGCCATGCCTCATTTCGCTCTATGTGCTGTTTGCTGTCTACGGGGCTGATCTCTGTGAGCTGCAGCTGACCACGCCCCCCTGCAGGAGAGGGAAGCCGTGCTCTGATCAAGTCAAGAGGGGGAGAAAAAAAGACCTCCGTCCTCCGTGTTTTATTATATAGAGTCGTTATTCATTTGTTTTAAAGCTCAATAAATAACAAAGAAGACCTTTGACCGGCACTTTTCTAATTTTGTCCGGAAGATTTAAACTTTAACAGACATCTTGACCGGCGAAAGAAACTGAAACTGAAACTCTGCCGCACGGTCCCTTTGTTCCTTGGAAGAGGCGGAGAGGTGGGTGTTTGTCATCTGCTGGTGGACTAACCGGAGAGAATTACAGTGCTTGCCTCGACGGGGAGGGATTGCATTGAATTAAAGCAGCGGGAGCAAACGCTTGCCTCGGGGAGGGAGAAAAAAAGCCACAGCGGAGAATAAACAGAAGGGTAACCATGGTAACCATGCGCGGGAAGTCTTCTTCGCTGCTTTTGTGGCAGACTACAGCGCCACTTATAGGCCTGGCATATGTACTACAGCGTATCCAGCGCTTTCGAGCGGCAATGGCCGGCCGTGGCCCAACCCCACATTCCCCTGATAGGTGGAGAGTTGGCCCAATAGCCGTAGCGCCACTTCTGTGACGTCATAGAAGTGTTCAAATCTGGATCAGTCTGTGGGTGTTTCTCAATCGCGAGTACGCTTGCTTGGTAGCACATGTCTGCCGAGCATCTTGCTTCAGAAGCGAGGCAAGAATACTACCTGGCATTCGGAAAACAAAGAGTGGAACAGGCTAGCAAGTGTGCAGGTGTGCGTCATATGAGAGGCCCCGCCTTACATCTTCCGCCACAGATTTGCGGAAATTGGTCCGTGCGCAAAGCATTGTGGGGATTTTAAGACCGCGGAGTCTACTCATGTGCAGCCTCGATATTTCTCCAAACGGAGTACGCCGGGCTCGGTAGATTTCCAAGTATGCTGGAAATTGGAACAGTACTTCGGCGGCACTCGATGACGTAGTATGCTTGAAATAGTGGCTCTGCAGCAGCTTTACTCGCGATTGAGAAACACCCTTTATCAGATCCGTTGCAGCCCCTTTTTTAGAGATTTGGGTATGGAGGAAAATAGAGAGGGTTGTGTTTTCTGACACTTGTGGCGCGTTTCCACTACAGCACGGTTTAAGAGGGCTGTGACGTCAGCGGCCCTTCTTTGGTTGCGTTTCCACTTGGCCTAGTACCGGCCGGCGGGTCCTAATTCACAGTTTTTCTGGCCTCATAAAATCGCGGGTCTAGGGCCAGAGACAACGAGGCTGAGTCGGGCTGAGTATGCTAAACTAGAGAGAGCATCGCTGGCAAGGGGGCTACAACTACAACAAGATGGACATATTTGACCGTGATTTAATTGTAATACACGTTTCAAAATGATGCCAAAGTAACAACATACTGATACCGGTTAGTAAAAACCATGAATTAATGCTTTGTCAAGTCTGCAGACAGACGGCAGGCGAAAAACCTTTTAAAATGCGTGTTTTCTAAATGGAGATTGGCTAAGCTAACGCAGTATATGCTCCGACCGTCCACACTCACAACAACGGCCTATACAGACATAAATAGAGCAGCGACTGTATTCACCATGACACAGGCAGTCTGTGGTTTGTACTTGTTTAACTTTTGTCTAGTTTCTGAACATATATGAGGAGCTGTGAGCTCTGAGTGCTAACAGCTAACGGCTGTGTTGTTTTTCTGGGGTTCTCTGAAGATCACGTCACGGCTCCGCCTACACTGCGTTACTATAGATACTACCCCAGTTCCTAAACTGTAATGGAAATGCGCCATAAAGTGAGCCAGTCCTAACGAGGCCCAGCCATACCGAGCGAGGCCGTGTAGTGGAAACGCGCCATTAGTGAGTTCCCTGGAACACCGGGGACACATATTCATGTATACAAGACGTACAAAAGTGCATTTTGCATGATAGGTCCCCTTTAAATGGTGATGAAACATACTGGAAATATAACTTCTCAATTTCAAAACACGGTTCAACACAGTTTATTTTGGCCAAATGAAAACATTGCTCACAGGTGAACTCTGACCTGTGAGTCCTGTGGAGCAGCTGGAGATCGCACAGAACAGGAAACACATGCTTAAATGTGTGGGTTGAAGTCAAGTTTAAAAAAAAAAAAAGGCTAAGAAATGAATCATATATGAAATCTTTTTTTTTAATAAATAATGAATGTAAAATAATAAAAAGGGAATGACCACCACACAGCTTAAAACTTACACTGTTGTAAGCAGACTTTAGTGGAATAGAGGAAGAGCTACTTATCAGAAAATTACCAGACAAAATGTATATGCGGGTATTATACATTTAGGACAACTTTATGACTGTGCATGTCACCGCTTCTGACAATTGTGCACATGCTCATCAAAATCTTCACTTTGAGGTCAATATCTATGGAAGGATTACATTTCGAAATGGTGTCAATTGATGTAGCTAGTCAATTCACAAAGTTCAACCAAAGCAAAAACGTTCAGCTTTTTGTTTGTCTACACTGCCTTCATGTGGTACAGCACAAACATTACATGTGCTGATGCTGACAAGGCTTTAGCATTTACCAGTGTCTGTGTAGTGTTGAAAATAATGAATGGAAACATGGCATTCATGCCTTAGTGATGTTTTGTATCATAAAAACAATATAAACAAACGACTTACTTGCAAAACTCTCAGAAATTTGGAAAACATATCAGCACTTTTCCCATCACTGCAGCCACAAAGCCTATAAGAAATGTTTATAATTCCTTATAGAGAGCACTGTTCCTATTACAAAAATTACAATTAGTACAAAATCGACGTCCTTTGTCCAACAATTAGTGCTGGTCAATGAAGGCAACATTTTGACGTTACATTTTAGTTTTGTGTGACTTTCAAAGACCCAGAAAAGGTCTGTCCCAATCTGCCCTGGTCTCCCCTACTATACTATAGTAGAAGTAGACTATAAAGCAATACATGGAAATACTCAGTACATGAGCTCAAAGTATCCTACTACTAAGTACAAGTATACCTCACAATTGTACGTAAATTGGCCTACACTAACTGAGTAAATGTACTTAGTTACATTGTACCCTTGGGTTTCGCCTACTCTTTGCAGCTCCCCTGAACAACACTGCCCCCCTGTGTTCAGTTTTCCCGCGGCTTCCTCTCAGTCTCGCAGGGCTGCAGCTGGAGTCTGTTCCGCTTCACCTGGAGTTTACACCGGGACACACCGCTCTCTCCCCAGGCTGCTGCGGGACACCTGAAGACACACGTCTCTTCAGTTCAGCCAGAGACTGAAGCTGCACTCAAATGTCGCTTCCTCTTTCGCGTTTACACTATTTTACAGTCGGTTTAAGGATTTAGCTGGTTCCTCCCAACTCCTTTTTCACAGTTACCTGTGAACCGGAGCAGCTTCTTCAACATGGCTTCTTCCCCCACAGGTGACGACGAGGAACAGGTAAGCTGACGTCCTGCTGCTGCTAAAAATGACAGTTGTCATGCTTAATGTGAGCGTTATTCTTCCTGTTTGGTTTGTGGTCGTTTGTTAAAGTTGTAAAATACAAACGTTGAGAAGCGTGTTACTCTTCCTGACTCTGAGTCCTATTCTCCTCTGCGTGGAAAATTGGACAAATACAAAAAAAAACTTGAAAGTATTCCATTACAGCTATTTCTATACGGGTAATTTACTATGGAATGCAAATAGTAGCATCCTCTTACTGTAACAGAAGGCTGGCTGTGTTTTGTGGGTTGGCATATTATCGTTTTCCCGGTTAAGTTTGAAATTGAATGAAGTAAATTCACTGATAACGTTAGTTTCACTTTGGCCTGCTATGAGTCTATGGAATGAGTGAGGATATATTTGACTGTCACCTGAATTACTGCACCACACACATACAACCCAGAAAAAAACTCGGTTTACTTATACAAAGCTTTATTTTAAATTAAAGGACAATATTAGTGTGTTTTTTATAAGCCTACTTTAAGCATCCTAAATAGGCTACATATCCCTATACATATTTTTTTCACTCACTACATTTTAATGACTGTATTTGCACTTAAAGGCAGCCATTGATTCCCATTCATTTCTATATGGTAGTTGAAACATTAGTTGCATAGCCAGGGCCGTCCCTCCCTACAGGCCGATCATGCAGACTGCGTGGGGCCTCACCTTGCGGAGGGGGCCTCATCTTGCGGAGGGGGCCTCAACTGAGCCGCAAATGCGGCGCAATTAGTGTGGCGCAGCACGGTTTCGCAGCTGCGAGGCTCCACTAGCACTAGAGCTGGGAGATTGACAATGAATCAAATCGATAAGTCAATCTGCAACATTTTTTATGTTAACCGTTGAAGTATAATTTTAAACTGTAAATGTACGATTATTCAGCATTTATAATGGGAAGGCTATTTCTTGATGGTAAACCAAATATGTTTTGGACAACTTGTCATACAAGGCATTAGGTCCCTGGGAAAATGTGATTGGCATGTTTCTTTTGGGTGAACAGTATATCAGTCGTAGGCCTACATACTAGTGTTAACCTTGACCCGGTGGAAGAATGCGTTTTACAGCGGGAAAATAAACAAGCAGTCTGTGTTATCAGTAAATAATCAACAATGACCCATCAATAAATGTCTGTCAGTCTGCAGAGGCTTTTTTTTTATTCAATCCTGATGTGTCAGTATTTACCTTTTCGATCTTAATTTCTTAGCGTAACTTTCCTCGTACAGGAATCATTACCCACAATGTTTGTTGGCTTGCAGTTTTTGCTTGTAAAAATGCCAGCTTTCCTCCTGAAATGACCAGATCAGCAGAATAACATGTAGTTTTGACTGGTCATCACTTCTTAGTCTTGGAACTGTCCACTTAGTGACATATTTCAACTAGCTATGAGTATTTCTAACCTGTGTCATGCAATCAGAATTGGTTAATAATGAGGGAGAGATGTAAAATCCATGATTTTATGGATGAATAAATGAAACTTAAGACATAAGGCAAATATAATGATGTTTACCCACGACTTTGGCAGTTAGTATCGAAGCATTCTTCTGACTGTGTTGATTTGTTAGACAAATAGTTAAAAGGTGCACCGTAACTTAATCTGACTTTCATTTTTCCTGAGGCTATATTTGAAACATGTTATGGAACTTTTCAGTGACAATTAATTGTGTACACCTATAAAGAATAGTATAAGTACTGATACACTGATTCAATGATTTTTAAAGGCAGTTAATTCACTTTTCCCTGATCTGTGTGTCCTTTAAGGAAATGATAAGTGTGTGATGATTTCTTGTAGCTATATTGCCTGTTTGTGCGCCTATCTGTCTGTGCTTCCTGCCATCTGTCCATTAATGTTTGACCACAGATTGTAATGGAAGGTTTGAGTGGTGGTGGTAATAACTGCCTGTTGTCAGGACACTGTGTGGCAGAGCAAACATTATGAGACTCCACCTAAGGCCTGGTCAAAAGCAAATGGAAAACAAAGAGATTACACCCCACCTGCAGAGCTGTGTGCACGTACAGTACAGAGCCTTCTGGAGAGTCAAACATACATTATGAAGTGTTTTCTCCTTGTATGCTATTAAAACAGTGAAAAGGTTAACTTTGTGTAAAAGCGTTTTTGCCAATACATGTACAGTTGCATCTGATCAGAAAGTTAGTCCTCATTTAATGTCTTCTGTTGGTGTCATATTTATGTGCATGGTTTGGCTAGTTGTTGGGAATGATGATGGTGTGTCATGTCAGAATAAGCATTTGTTTTCAGCTGTAGCGCCACTGATTTGAGATGTTTGAGCCTATTAGCAATACTGATATATTTGAGATTTTTAAATTCTGGGAATTATATCATCGGGTGCAATGATGTTTAGTCCATAATATTTCAGAAAGAAATTAAAAATAACTGTCATTTTTCCTCAACTCAAGATAATGTTCTCAAATGTCTCGTTTTATTTGACCAACGGTCAAAACCGACATTTTATTCAGCTTATCATGATTGGTAGATCATTTTCCGACGGTCAAATAATCAATAAATTGAGGGTTACAGCTCTAATGTATGTCAATTATATGTTTGTATCTGACTGATCATGATATGTAAACATATATCTGACATAGATTATTTAAAAAAATGCTAAATATTTACTTTCAGCCACTAAAATGTCGGGATTTTGCAGTTTTTAATTGTTGTAAACTTAATATGTTTTGCTTTTGGATTATGAGTCTAATACACAGCAATTTATAAAACCAGTTTTGAAAATCTTACATAAATAATTTTGTAAAAATAATTATGAAAGGTCATGAAAAAACAAAAGGTGGCCAAGTCTGCGTTTTAGTTTTTGTATTCCTTTACACTGCATGAGCATTTTCCTAGTCGTCATTGTAACAGGAAAAGTGTAGTTGAGCTGACTCAGCATGCTGGATGATCGGAGCGCGCTCACTGAATCAGCCACACTGGCTCTCAGTGCGGGGGATTGTGATGGAATGAGTAAACATGACCTCAGTTGTGGTGAGGTAATGTCAAGTCACCGAGTGAAGTGTTTGTTTGTGGAGAGGATGAGGCTGTTATTTGGTAAACACACGTTGGTGGTGTTAAGATTATCACACACTGAGGTCAGGTGTTTGAAACATATATGTCAGGTTAGTAGCATTAGAATGTGTTTCACCAACTGTTGTCTGTTAGCATCGGTATATGTGAGTATTTTAGGTTTACTTTGTGTGTGTGTGTGTGTGTGTGTGTGTGTGCTGGTCTGTGACTAGCTGAGCGAGATACACAGTAGGCCGTGGCGAGACAGAGCAGAGGCTGTTAGAACTGAATAGTAGCTATTAACAAGGATTCCCAGACACTAGAGAAAAGGCCAGTATATGATGTCTCTGTTTACTAAGAATGTTCACCCTGCCTTTTTTAAGGGCAGCAAGCTATAATGGCGTATTGTCATCATTTTAGATGCATAAAAAGTCATTATGGATCAAGGGGAAGTTGGTTTGAATTCAAGAAATAATTGTGAATATCCAGGATTCAAGTGATACATTTACGAGGAAAATCCCCCATACTTCCGAGAGGGAGTTATACATTTGGACATTTTTGAGTGAAAAACCGTAGGCATATTTTTTGTGTAAAGAAACCAAATGTAAGATCAGGTAATTTGGCGATAAAATAATTCAAAATACTATTTCAATTTTCTGATTATTTGTATTGTTACTTTTACTTTGAACATTAGCTTACAAACAACATTTCCTTATCATGAAAACAAAATTATATTTTCATTACATTTATCTTTAAACATATTTATTTCGTCCATGTTCGTATTTTCTAATAGAAATGACTGCCTAGCGGTTGTATATCTTTTTTTGTAAGAGAAAAAATTAAGGAAGAATGCGTCTGCAACTGAAATATAACTTCTGGTAAACCAGGTCTTATTTTACTCAGGTTTGTTTCAAGATACTTTTTTCAAAGTGAACATTTGATGACTAATAAAAAGCAAACTCCAGAACATGGTCTGCACAAGTCACCATCATGATCATTGTTTTTGTTCTACAGGCACTTGTAAAAATGTGGACATGTTATAAAGGTGCCGATAACAAGTCAGAAAGTAATGATTAACCCGATTTATTAACAAAAACCTAATTTAAGCTGTTAAACATTGACATTATAAAGAATGGTTCATTCCAAAGAAATGTATTTATACATTAACCAAACAGTTTTTATTAGAGATGTCCCGATCCGATCACGTGATCGGGGATCGGAGCCGATCACGTGATTTTCAAAAGATCGGAATCGGTAGAAAACAATCGGGGATCGGGAATTTTGTTTGTTTTAAAAAAAAAAAATGTTATCAAATATTTTTATTATTTTATTTAATGTTACAAAACAAAAATGACCATGTTCACGTCTTAAAGTCATCCTGAGGCCTTAGTTTTGGTTTAAAATTACACAACATCATGTATGTGTTGCTTCTTTTGGGCTTGTTTTCATAGACCTGGTTGCTTATTTCTCTCAAATCTGGCAACAGAGTGGGCGCAGTGTCTAATAGTAGCAGTAAGCTAACAAGAGGCTACGTTCAGCTGGTGACTCGGGAGTCGGGACAGAGAAAATATCAGGAGTTTGGAAGTATTATAAAATTGAAAGCGAAGGCAGTGTAACAGCCAGATGCAATGTTTGCAAGGCGGAGGTTGCGCGTGGTGGAAAGAACAGAGCTACGTTCAACACGACCAATCTAATACGCCACCTGAGAAACAAACACCAACAACAACACGACGAGTACACAGCGGCCACTCAGGTAACGGCACTGAAACAACCGACACTTTCAGAGACTTTTAAAAGGAAAGCGAAACTGCCCCAGAACAGTGAAAAGGCCAAAAAAATAGCAGCCAAGATAGCTGAATTCATCGCGTTGGATGACCAGCAGTTATCTGTTACCTTTTTTTTCTCTTAATGCATTGCATAAAGATCGGATCGGGAAAAATCGGTA